CGATTAACTGTGCCCACCTTTGCATATAACATATAACAAGCAACATGTATTGCTTCAGAGCCTCAAAATGTTTATTACTCTAGGAGAATTTTTTGTAGCTACACCAAAATTTTTTATTGAGAAATAAACTATTTATTATTATTATTAGAGAGTTATTGGAACTATTAAATACTGCCTCGCAGTATTAAAGATCTACGTTATTTTATTAGTGCATCAGCACTATTTTTCCAAGAAAAAAACAGTTATTGGAAGACTGTAGTAGGTGGTAGAGTATTACCTTATTTTGTATCCATAATTTTGACAGCTGATAGCTATGTTTATAAATTTCAGCCTCAAAAAGTGTTTATTTTTGTTTGTGATTTTCTGCTGATACTCATATTTTGATGTTACCCACAATAAAATGGAAAACTATTGTAAAAAATAAATTTTCTAAGTAAAATTACGTCATCGTTGAAAAGCGAAACGTCAAAGTCGTCCAGAATGTCAGAAATTTGAAATAAGGGAAGTTTACTGCCTCGCACTAACCATACACAAATAAAGACAAGCAGTAACCTTATTAAGGGAACTTATTTTCGGACCCAAATGCGCATGCGTAGATGTCAAAATAAGGCTAATTTAAATACTGCTTGTCCTTATTGCACGTCCAATAACTCTCTAATATTATTATAATGGCGAAATTGAAAACTCGAGTGACACAAATATGTTCATAAAAGAGTTCGCGCTCTCGACACTCTAGCTTTTGTTATGGTTTCACTCAGAACTAGTTCGGAATCATTCTGCACATGCGCATATTATAAAATGCGTTTTCGTTTTTTCAGAATCGTAATCGAACTGTGTTGACAGTGTTTTGGTTTATCTAGAACTATTTAAGAACAGTTCTGGGATTGTTCTAGAACGGTTCTCTCAGTTCTTGCTCTGAAGGTGGAACTGTCTTAGAATTTTGTGATTTGCGACGTGTTTTGGTTTTTTTGGTCCCGAATCGGTTCAGAACTAGTATTAGAACAGTCCTCTATTATTTTTTGTGCGCAAGCAGTTCTGCGCAATCCCAGAACCGTTCCAAATTTCGAGCCAAAACAAAGCTTCTGTGTGAAATAAAAGCACACACTCCGTAGACACACGCTCAAACCCACACCAACAACATTTTCTTTTATGAACGGACTCCTGAGTGTTTTCACCACACAATAGCCGCTTTCCAGCTGTGTGCTTCAAGCACGGTGCAGCACAGTGTTCTGTGTTTGAAACGCAAAAGTTAGCAGCTCTCGAAGCGCAGTACGGCTGGAACAGGAACATGCGCTTGAAGCATTTGCGGGGCAAAAGCTCGATTGCGTGCTCAAAAGCGTCAGCTGGAAAGCGGCTATTATAGTCGGGCCACCGAAGAAATATAGTTGTAAAACGATTACCTGCTAACCGACGCCCATAAATTATCCCGCAACCCTCTGAAGAACAGATCATTTCATAGTGGAGCGCATTTAGTTGATGTTGTTCGTCTGTGACATTGTGCTGTGATTCGAATTGTGCTATTTTAGATTTTTTTTTGCGATTCAATTTGTTTTTTTTTTTTCCATGGATCCTAATGATGGAAATTTATCTCCACCAAGAAGACGGAGGAAAAGACATTTCTCAGTGTCTGAAAAGGAGACAATCCTAAATACCTTCAAAACTTGTGACCGAAATCATGCAGATTGTACAAAAACTGAGAAAGTGAATTTCACAGCAGAGGCCATGGGTATTGGAGTAGCCAGCGCTTACAACGTTCTTCGGGAACACAAAAACGAGCATGAACTGAAGCCAGCCAAAGCTTACAAAAGAAAAAAATCTGTTTGGGACAATATAGATATGGAAACAAAAAATTCAGTTCGGAGATTAATTCATTCATTTTTTATCAAGAACGAGTCTCCTAGTATAAAGGCAATATTAGCAGCTATTCAAGAGGGAGAGGACATCCCTAATTTCAAGAGAAGCTCGTTTAAAAAGTTGCTCCGTGAACTTGGTTTTCGGTATGGTAGAAGAAGTCGAAATAGCATGCTAAAAGAAAAAAATGAAATTGTGAGCTGGAGGCGACGCTATTTACGGAATATCCGAGCAGTAAGGGCGAGTGGAAAAAAGATTTATTATCTGGACGAAACCTGGATTAATGCTGGCCATGTCACTTCAAAAGTATGGAGCGACGAAACTGTCACTACGGCGAGGCAAGCTTTCGTAAATAGACTATCTACAGGACTGAAGAATCCCACAGGTAAAGGACAAAGACTCATTATATTACATATTGGTTCAGACGATGGATTTGTTGAGAACGGCTTGCTCCTCTTTCAGTCAAAGAAAACTGGAGACTATCACGAGGAAATGAATTCCCAAGTCTTCGAGCAATGGTTTGAAAATATTTTAACTCGCTTGGAAGAAAATTGTGTCATAGTGATGGACAATGCATCTTATCATTCTAGAAAAATTGATAAGAAACCGACATTATCTACGAAAAAAGCTGATATACAATCCTGGCTAACTAGGAAAAATATTGGCTTTGAAGAGGATATGGTGAAGGCAGAACTATTAACGCTCGTAAATGAAAGTTCTCACAAGAACCAATACGTAATTGATGAAATGGTCAGAGCTTGCAATAGAACAGTCGAAAGATTACCTCCGTACCACTGCGAATTAAATCCTATATACAGTTGATATGGGCACAAATCAAAGGAGAAGTGGCCCGAAAAAATAGAACCTTCAAAATTGCAGATGTTAAATTTTTTTTTAATGAAGCAGTCTACAACGTCAGTCCTGAAAATTGGAAAAATGCTGTTGGGCATGTGCTGAAAGTGGAGGCAAGTATGTGGACTATGGATGCTATGATGGAAACCAGAATAGAGCCTCTGATTGTTAACTTTGATGGTGATGAATCATCATCATCGTCATCCGACTCGGAATAATTTCTCCGCATCCGCGTTTTCATGTTTAGCTTTTTTCCTAATAAATTGCATTTGTTATTAAATCAGGTAGGTAGTCACCTATACATTTTATCCAAATCGCTCTTTTAATATTAAAATTGTCTATGCCAAATAAACAAATTATGTGATTATAGTTAAATACTTATAAATATATTACTCATTATTATAAATAATAACATTTGTTTTATTTAAAATCGAGTGTTTCTCAATCTCAGCATACACATAAATTTGTAATTTTTTTTCTTCTATTTATCCCTCAGTAATAAAATAGGTACCCATCTTACCTATAAGATAATTTATGTAAAATTATAATAAATATGTAAATCAAAGTTAACAGCAACAGGTAGGTATACAGAATATTTGGTGGCCTTTTGGGCGGTCATGAAATTTTAACCTTTTAGGAAAAACATTTGGTGGGTCAAAGGTTTTAGAAAACAATTTCTAGAAGTTTAAAAAAAAAAAAAGTTGGAGTACACCATAATTATTATATAAAATCATTATTTTACCTGAGCAAGAAATTACTGAGTACCTACCTACATTCTCGAAACTAGAAAATTTATATTCCATCCGTGCGTTCGTTATTTTGGTCTGAGTTCTCCGAGCTTGACTTTACCGTTCGTTTATTTAAAAAGTGTACTCGGTGTATCCTCATTCGCGTTCGTTTATTAAAATTTCTGGCACTTATATACAGCGTTCAACTGCTCTGTTCGCTCGCTGGTCACGTGATTACGGCTCCGCTCAGCACGCTCTGCTCTTCGAGCAAAATACCGAACGCAAGGCATAATGAGTTAATAATTATATAGGTTACCTGAATTAGAGAATACTTAAAATTAGGTATATAGATTTTCATTGTAATTTTAACCCAAAATAATTTATTGGAATCGCATTCATGCATATACTCACATACTGATAAAATGAATTCATGCTTTTATTAAATTTGATTAATCATGAGAAGGTATAAAGTGGGTGAAAACCCGCTCGTCTATTGCCTGTCAGACCCCTCGAAGGTTTTATTGCTATATTTCTTCGGTGGCCCGACTATAGCTACCCCCGTTTTTATTCTATTCGGTGACTTCACCGATAGAGTTGTTTTCTCGCGGTGGAACTGGTTCGACCCGGTTCAATTAGGTTCGAACCTATACATTCTTGCGTTGAACCAGTGACGTCACATTGAACCTGGTTCAAAAAAGTTCGAACCGGACTCATAGCTTGTTCTCCGTTGACATAAGACTTTGGTTCAAACCTTCCATTTTCTCGCGTTCACAAGTGATGACGTCATCTACAAATTGGTTTAAACCGTAGTTCGAACCATTCGCCCCGCGAGAAAACGCCTGAGATCTTTGTTTCGTGAATGGAAAATGACAATGACAGACATAGAATGGTGAATTCATGGGTAAAATTTGATGAGAATAACAACGCAGGGCTATTCCGCTTTCCGATTCTAGAACAATCTTTTTCCACATCTCGTTTGCATCTTCCTCTTTGCCTATTATGTTAATCAAAATAACAATTACTACGACCGCTGGCACAAACAGCAAACAGCTGACGACAGCGTGCTGATTCGAAAAATCAAGGCTACATAAGCAATGTATAAGCATGAGCTTAAGCTATCCTGTGTACCGTGTCGGTGTCGTATCCTTGGAAAAATCTAGCCATTTACCCGCAAGATGCTCGAAAAAAGACAGAGCAATGAAAAAATATCTGTTTCAAATAATCTTCTTCCGCATCTGCTTGGAGCACGCAGAGCGAGAAAAAATGATTATTGGGTTATCCTTGGTGCAAGCCGAGCATGATTTTTCCGATCTCGAGCAGCTTGCTTGAAATATGTCAAATACGAAGGAATTGAAATCGCTCAAGTGCAAGCCGCTTGGAGCAAACAAAACAGGACAACGAAAACCCGGAAGAAAACTGACATAGGCCTGCATTCGGTTAATCGTTCGCGACCGGAAAGATGATTCTATTGGCAAATGCCCACGTGATCTTTCATTTGAGGTTTGAAAACTGGATCACATGGGCCTGTCATATTAGACACCGATTACCATCCGAACTCCACTATGACAGCATGACAACAAAGAACATTCAAGCGCATTGCAATTCGGCATAATTTTATCTATTTAACATTATTTGCTTTGCTATCAGTTTAGTTTATCAAACATTTTATTCATATAAACTAGTCGTTGATAAACCTGAACTTAACTGGTAACTTGTAACCAAAAAAGCTTGTTAGGTAATTAAAAGTGATTCGAAATTATTACCTACTCGAAATAATATGTAATTTCAGTCTTAAAAAATATGCTATACCTGAGATGCAGTAAGTTTATATAGTTTATTTATATGATAAACAATAAAACTTCCTTCCTCAATTTTCAGGTTAAATTTTGCTGAACCCCGCCCTTCACACATAGACTTATCTGGATCTCTGGAATGAACCCCTCCCTTACAAGACTAAAATAGTGATAAAGAAAATACATAAATCACCATGGCTGTCTCTGGGACTGATACTAAAGGAACCTGCTTTTGGTGTTTTAAGGCTGTTAAGTGGCTACCTGTACTATTTATTATTACAATTGTGGCTTGGTCTTATTATGCATATGTTGTACAATTGTGTCTTAGTAAGTATGTTTTTATTTTCACCTATTTAATTTTGTTCTTGATAATTATCAAGGTCAGTGGTACATATAAGAAGGCTTAAAGGCGCCCTCAGAGCGTCTGCACGCTGCACCGTACAACTTAGGAAGTAAGACTTAACACGTAAAACATAAGAAATAAATGCCTGTCGATTGAGAGCCATCTTAAAAAATAAAAACTTATCTATGTCGGATTCTCCGTTGGCCAGTTACAGAACGTTGCAATCCATGCACGAAAACATAAGCCATAATGTAAGGAATAAAATGGGCTCTTCCACTAAATAAAATGCTAATTAGGGGACTATTTTAGGTATATTTGCCAAAAAAATGTAGGTATCTACGTGCTCAAATGAGTATTCTAGAGGCAGTTTAAAACTGGACCAACTTAAAATCCCTAAAACGCACCAAACTGTATTCTTTTGGTATTTTTCCAATATTTTAGAATTAAATCTCTTACCAATTTCAATGCGGATAATTATTAGTGGCAACCGAGGTGGCAACACTGTCAAAATGCAAGATGTGACCTTGGTTGTGACTTAGTAATGATACAGTATCTTGATTTATTTTCTCAAAAAGGACTCCAAGTCGAGCTCCAAGTTTTTCTAAAGTTGCAGAAAATTCTATTTTTAGTTGATTCATCCAGTTACTTATGCCATTTTCAAAAATTAGTGAAAGTGCTCATTGGACCATTTCTTACAGCTTATGGGTTGTATTACGGTCATAGCTTGGACTATGAATTGTCCTTATTGATTTATGTGTGTTTATTTTTTCAAAGTGTTACAGTTGAGTCTTAAGTCCTGTGTTATGGGCGTTATGACAGCTCTGAATCCAGCTTTATCATCCTCTAGACAATGTGCTACTTATTTGAAGTATCAGCAAGTAATTTAGTCATAATATTTATCTATTTATTTCTTATTTATTAGGTAATTCACAGAAAGGCCAATTTACACAATAACAAATAAAGAATTTACAATATATGTAAGCATATAACAAACAACAACCTGATGAATTCTCACTATACTATTGCTTTTTTTTTTCAATTTTTTTTTTTTTTCTGGGATGGTTCCAGGTAGAAAATGGGGGTGCATTATACAAATTTTTAAATATCATTCCTACATCAATAATCCCTGGAAATTTGAACAGCCTAGCATTAGTTCTTCAGATGATATGAAAGGGGGTTGTTCAAATTTCAACACCCTGTATTTTGGAAACGACGCACTTCCGACCATCAGTGTCCTATCTCAAATTACTTCTCTATGGGTCCTCTATATACCCTAGCATCTCGCCTAGCATTTTTTGACCAGTTGAACGGGGACACCCTGTATATTTTATAGGAGGAGTCCCTCAAATTCTTGCACCTATTCCTCACTCCAGAGAATAACAAATAGTCCAAATTATCTCTTGTTGCTGTAAATTTTGTGGGAAGCTTCTTTTTTTTTTGACAATCAATTTACGCAGCTCAGTGTGGAACCACATAGGAAAGTTAGAAGTTCTGAATTTCTTCACCGGAACAAGTTCAGCAAGGTGACTGAATGTGGCCATTTGATTAGAAGATTAGGTGTACTGTCTGAACCTTTGCTGCACTGGAAGCTTTAAGCTGCATTCAGTGCCTTTACAATTTCAATTTACTTTGGAGTCCATGCTTGCCAAATGATGGCAGCACAGTTCCATTTGCAGTGAAAAAAATTGGGTATTCACTTTTGATTTTCGTCTCAAGTGCATTTTTTTTTTGAAAATCGAATCGCTACTTTCCATTTGCAAATAAGTGCGGTAAAGTACACTTTACCGCACGCTAGTAGGTAAAATAATTTTAGAGGTAAATAGCAAACCCTAATTTAAACTACAACAAAAAATCTGCTTTAAATTTTTATGTTAAGAATAAAAAAAAACCAAAGGTTAAATTAAAATTGAAGTAAGAAGTCAATGAGGTGATGGTAGCATTATAATAAAATTACATAATTGATGCCTCTTCCATCTAATTCTACTCACTAATAATTAATAAAAAAAAATGCCTTATTATAAATCACAAAAATTTAAAACTGGATTTTATTTAATTAAAACCAGAATTATTCAACTCAACAATTGTAAATGCTGTGAGATTTTTGGAATTTTCCAGGAAAATATTTTGGACGTTCTCCAAAATTATCTTCTACGCAATATTTTATGATCCAGGGTATTTTTATAAGCAGTAAAAGATGAGAATTTCAATATGAGATATTGATTTATTGTTTTGGTATGTTGAGCCTGTAAAAAAGAAATATGACAATATTAATTATAAACAGTTTCAAGGGTACTTACCTATTCCAAGCAAAAATTGCTTTTAAACCAGCTTAAATGAATAGTTGCGCAAATGTTATGTAGATTTGTAAGAAAGTATAATATTACATAAAATTTAATATACAACTATACTGAAACACATTTTTGTGTCTTTCTTTTTATTTTGATTTTCTCTCGATTTCTGTTGGTCCACCAAAACAGTTCTCACCTTTTTCGGCTGGTTCCTTACATGTAAATCAGAGGCTGTGTCGCATTGAAAAATGAAAAGAAATTTCATCTTCTTGACAGTGTGGCAGAATGTCAGAAAAATTCTTAGTGTATCACGCCCATACAGGTCGTTTCTTGGTTTTGCTCTGTGAGACTTCAAAGAGAGGTAGCTACATGCTCTAATAGGCTTATTCCTGTTTTGGTCTCCCTTTGTCTCTCTGATTTGGTATGCTTTCTGAGTGTTGCAGTGATGAGAACCTAACAAGGTTGAAACTAGTCTGTAACTAGAGATGCATCCAATGAATGAGAATTCGGTTTATCTTCATTGTCTTACAAGGCACAACCATACATATTGTGTACTCTGGCCGCGTCCAGAATCAACACAAACTTATAGTATGAGTATTAGCAGTGGGTCTACATTAAACATTTTCATTCATTATTTATTCCCTGCCTCCATGTGTTGATAATTTTTTATTAAAGAACCTGTAATTTTAGTGGACTGGTAATTGAGTTTTTTTTTTTAGTAATCATTGATAATACTGTGGACAAGGTTCTCTACCTTATATTTTACCATGGTTTTTTTATTATGTTGTGTTGGTCTTATTTCCAAACAATTTTCACAGATATAGGAAGAGTGCCTCAATATGTAAGTAAAACGAAATTCCCAGAACCTACATTATTTGGAATACATTTTTGTTTTGCAGTTCAAAATACCAGACGTTGATTTTGAAGCTTATTTACATCACAAGGATTCGTCGGAAATGCAGAATAGAATACTACAAAGTTGTGTAAAAAATTTACCAGTAAGAAATATCACAGTGGGGGGAAGCGTTCGTTTTTGTGAGAAATGCAAAATGATCAAACCTGACAGAACACATCACTGTTCCGTTTGTGGAGAATGTGTCTTAAAAATGGACCATCATTGTCCTTGGATAAACAATTGCGTCTGTTTCACAAACTACAAATTTTTTGTACTGTTTCTTGGATATGCTTTATTTTATTGCATATATATTTGTTTGTCTTCGCTTCCATATTTCATTGCTTTTTGGAAGGTAAGTTATGCAGGCTGATTCCTAAGTTGTATAAAACTTGAAAATTGGGGGGTAGGTGGTGGGCTATATTTGAGTTGAAAAGGTGATAAATTGAGATACATTTGTACTTAGGTGGAATGTGTGTGATTAAATTTTATAGAAAGCTATCAACCTTCAGCAGCAGCAGCAACTTGACTGACTGGAAAAAAGTGTCAGCGTTGTCGATTTAATGTTTAACTAACAAATTCTTTATTTAAATTTCTAGAACTTTTAATGGGTACCTATAGTAGTTTATTCCAAAATCAAAGTTCAATTAACACAACAATGATTTATTCAACGTTACTTTAACCATTGTATTTTAACACTCTGACACTAATTAATTCACTAATTACCTCAATCAACTTTACTCTTACCTTATTCAGTATATAAAATGTATAACAGCCAATCTTAAACTAAAACTACTAACCAATACCGGCCCTTATACGTATCCTTAATCCATTTTTGTAAAATCCAGAATCAACGCGATAGCCCCTTTTCCCGAATAGCACTGTAAAATCTAGAATTCAGCTATCCTATTCTGTGCGCCCTGACGAAAGCCGGCCCTTGCGTCGTCACAGTACCTTAGTTTAAAATGGTTTAAGATAATCAATTGTAAAGCTTATCTTGGTAGTGAGTACATAATGTAGATATTCACTTTACAGTATATTATTTAATTATTACAATGGCTCTGGAGAAAGGTACGTTAATCTTAATGTGTTTACTAGATGTTATTCTTTATCAACAGGATTTTGTGATATATGGACAAGAATGTTTAACAATTTACGCAACAAATTTAGGAATATAATTGAATCTAGAGCATTTCCTTTTAGTTTGAAGAAATTTCTGGATGCCAAAGCATTACAGTGTCGAGGAATTTTATGTAAAGATTGATAATTTATTTATTTTTCCCTAATTTGTCACAGGTTTATCTCTGTCGATTGGAAATTAACTGTATTTCTGTGATATTGTTCTTTTGATCTGATTATTTTATCCTTTTTCCCACTTTTTCTTGTTTTTTTTTGAAATTTATGTAAGTATATATTTTTGTACAGTGAGAATCATTGCAATTGGCACACACTATATAAACATCCCCCGTAATGTGACAACATTTTACTTCTTTGACACACACGTAGTGTCAGATTGATAAATCAGTGGTGAACATAATAGTTATGATAATAAACTGCTAAAGAAAAAAATAATTTGTACACCAGTGCACTTAAAGGGGGTGTGCGCCAAAAATTAGTTTTAGTGTAAAAAAATCTAAGAATAACTGTTCAAACCCCGTTATTCTACGATAAACCATCGCTGAGATATACCGCTTTAAAGTGTGGACGACGCTCTCGTGACGTCACGAAAACTTCGTCCAGCGGCGCTCTGCATTGTTAATTTGATTGTGCCCGGCACGCGTGAGTGGTTTTTGTTTAGATTATTGCAGGTAACACAGGAAAAACATTACGTAAATTTAATTAAATCCACTTTCTCGTGCGTCGCTTGAGCTTTCGTGACGTCATAGGGTGGGATGCGGTACCTTCATAGAGCCATATCTGCGGTATTATTTGTCATAGAGGGGTGCGGATTTCACTGTTATTCTTAGATTTTTTTTCTCTTTTTTTTAAGATGAAGTTGTTTTTTTGGCGCACACCCCCTTTAATAGATTTATTAGTTAAAATTTTGACTTAATACGAGGGATGTTAAAATAGTATAGTATGTGCAAATTGCAATGATTATCACTGTACATTTGCTTCTGCATTAAATTGAAGCTCATGCCACTTCTTGAAATTGGTGCATATTGTTGAAGTTGATTCCACAGAATCGTAATGTCTGAGCCGTCTGGCATAAAACGGAAAACATAAAGCCTATTCAATGATTAAGACTTATCGCAAGTACTAATGAAACATTAGAGTCGTGAGTAGTCTTGGTTTAAGGTAATTACAGTAAGAGTGAAAAAAATATGATGTAAAATTGTTCACAACCTAAAAATAGTTAACTTTTATTGGCTTGGAATAAATGATAGGAATCACCTTGATATAATATTTATTTGTAATAATTTTTCAATTAATTTTAAAAACACTTTCAGGGAGATCTTCAAGGTATGGGTAGATTCCATATTCTATTCCTCTTCTTTGTTTCTATTATGTTTGGTATAAGCCTGATGTCTCTATTTGGGTACCACTGCTATTTGGTTTTAGAGAATAGAACTACACTTGGTAAGCACAAGATTTTTGGATTTTGTCAGAATAACTTTTAAATATTTTCTGTTCTCTTTTCTTCAGAAGCATTTACATCTCCAAGTTTTAGAGGAGTTGGTGCTGATAAATATGGCTTCCACTTGGGGCGATTTAAAAATTTCAAAGAAGTGTTTGGAGAAAATCCCAAGTCATGGTTTGTTCCTGTATCTACAAGGTATATAATTAGTTTTTTACATTTTATGTACTGGGAATAAAATATGTAGTAGCAAGATGACAGATAAATCCAGGTCATTAAAAAGTGAGGCACCTAATTTCTGCTAGGACTTTGGCTCGTCATTACAAACTCATGGTCCAAGTTTCAAAAACTTTTTTATTTAAGCCAGGGTCATTTGAGGTTGGGTTTTGTTAGCTAAAAATAGCTTGACACCCTCGTGCTTCATTTCTTCATTGTCTTTTGAACTAAAAGAGACCTGACGAGATGCTCATTTGTCTTGCATTAACCAATGAAAACTCACATGGAAACCATTGAATGTCTAGAGCTACTACCAAAATACCCATACAATATGATGATTGAAAAGTTAATTCAATGTGTTTTTATTTTGTCAAAATCACATCAAAAATCTGATCGAATGCAAGCAACCATCATGATATCCTACGTAAATCACACAACCAGTGTAGAGTGATTTTACCTGGAGATTTTTGTTTTGTTGTCCAGCTACGATTTATAAATTAGTTGTCAGCTCTTTTTTAGTTTTCAAGTAATCGTTGTCAGAGGATTTGTTTCCATTAAAGTTAGTTTTGAACAGCTTCCTTACCAGAAATGGTTGGCCTCATGGATTGGTACTACGTATTTATATGTATGTACAAGGTTGTAGTTAAGCATGGAAATTGTCTCAATTCAGAACAGCTGCAGATATCCTCCTTAAATTTGGATTAGAGTACTTATGTGCAAAATATTACTTCAAATGGAACTGAGGCTCTTTAATTGCTTATAAAAGCTTTCAAAGGACGTGTCCCATCCGCAGTCAGTTTTATGCTTAAATGTAGATTGGTAGTATTGGTACTCTTCTCCAATTTTGAAAAAAATTTGCCATCGCCATATTTGAAATATGATACACAGTGTTTCCTTCAATGCATATGTACAGGGTTATCCAATGAAAGTGCTTTTCACCTTATATGCCTGTTAATTGAAAAGATACAAAAAAATGTTAAATACAAAAATTGTTGGGATTTTTATGAGGAATTAGGAGCATTTATCATAAAAAAATGGAAAGTCGGTTGTAGAAAATATAGCAAAAAATGTTACGTACATTTCTTGCTTAATTTAAATGGAATGACCCATTTTGGAATATGTTTTTGGATTCCACATCAAATTTGAGCCCTGATATGTTACATGTCCTATAGTTTAATTTAGCAATTTTGGAGATATCGCTAATCAATGATTTTTTAAAATATATTACGAAAAAAATGATATTTCATCGTTGGAGGCTGGTAAGACTGGTAAGTTAGATGGGAACTTACCACTTGCTTATTACTATTGTTTTTAATTATTATATTGAAAAGGTGTCCAGTATTAGATCAAATATGCTAAATTTTGCTTTAATCCAGCTTCCCCTGGTTCACCTTTTACTTAATTTACCTGGAAGTTACCTATATGAGGTAAAAAGCACTTTCGTTGGATAACCCTGTACAACCATAATTCTATATTTTTTTAAAGATTGGCAGAGTTGGGTCAATACAAAAAGTTTGTTAATTTAAACATATTCAATTTGCCTGCGTGTATCTTCGATTGACTTTTTCTATTTAAATGTTCATACTTACCGAATATTTCGTTTCCAGTTTACATTTTTTAGCTTTGTAAGTTCTTTACAGGTAAGCCATGGCTATTTTTATGTCATTCTTTGCAAATCCACTTGTGAGAAGCAGATATTTAAAATTTTTTGCTTACTGTTGACTCTTGCAGACACCCAACAAGGACAGACTTTATAAATTTATGGTCAATTTCATCATTTGAAAATACTTTTAATTTTTTCTCAAAACCCCAAAAATTATTGTTGTCAGTCAATTTCTATTGGATTGTTGGAAATAGTTTTAATATTGCTCATACATTTTTGGTCGCGTCGCTTTTTGCAGCATGGTCCCAGCCAAAATATCAATCAATAGTGTCAATACATATTTTCATTATCCACATTCCATTAAAAATAACTGACCAGAAATTTAATATGAAAGTACATATTCAAAAACTGTATGGAGCGAGTTAATTGTTTTTCATAACGGCTTTGCAGAGTGAAAAAAAATCAATAATTTTTTTTTTAAATGTTTTTGAAATTTGAATACTTTTCTAGTTTGGGTGACGGTATACAGTACCCTATGCATACAAGACATCTACCGAGTCTTTACCACTCTACGGACCGCACACAAAACAGGTTAGAGAGCTCAAGTTTGCCTATTGCTATTTAGCTACGCTACATGCATACTATTCTAACACAAAATTAATTGATGTGTGGGTGTTATTTTTATAAATTTTTTATAACAGTATTATTTTGTGTAACGCAATTTTTTTTCACTAATCTATTTTTATCATTATGTTGATTTTTAGTTTTGACGAATATTTATCCTTTAATCTTAGCTGTAGGTATTGTTTAATTTTTTTGTCCACTCAAAATAATCTTATTTTCAATATACCCAATTAGCTAAGGCCATGTAGCCCATGTAGGCACATCACAGGTATTTTTTAAGCTTGCCTGTGGAGAGATTAAACAAATACATAATATGTTTGCTGAATTTTAAGTATATTGCAAAAGCTATTTTAGTGCTCCTTAAAATATGAACATGTCATTGAGGTCTAGTTTATTTTATTCATCAATAATTTTGACTCTGTTGCCTACATGACATGAAATGTCTCTCATGCGGGTTCTCAGATAAGTGAGGGTACTATTCCAGTTAGTTGATGTAACAGCTTCGCAATATTCCCAAAATCCTAGATAAACCGGCGGTAGTAACGTTAGAGTCCTAGGAAGCTTCTGACTTTATGTAAGTTCTTTGGTCAGAATGATCCCACACGGCCTGGACTTTTTCTGGACTATCCTCTATTCTTTGAAAGCAGATTAGGATCTTTGGCACTTCCACTAGATTTCATCTTGTTCTTGTACAAAACAAAAATCCATTTCTTGATTTATGTAATGGCATTTTTGTTTTTCTGTAATACTTTAATCAAATTTCCTTTCCTGTTAACAATTTTTGTAACTTTTTCTCATTGTTATGCTTCCTTTTCTTGTTGTAGACGATTCGTTCCCTAACTTTGTGATATCTCGGCTACTGTATTTAGCAAAACTGCCCTTTTCATTGTGAAAAGCTGGCACTAAATCAAACGCGATAGGCTTTTGGTCCCACCCTTGGTTATGTCCACTCCACGTTGCAGGCAGTGAAGAGATGTAGTCAAATGTTTGAGATGTAGTAAAAATGTTGGTATTTATTTTGATGTGAAGTGCTAGTAGGTACCCCAATTTTCAATGTGTTTCAATTAGGATCGTCTTAAATTACTACTTATTCACAAATTTTTAATAACAGCTATTTCAAAAAACTTGCCAATTATCAAATGTTTAGTTTAACGGATAAATTTCTTGTACAGACCTAAAAAAACGGCATGACACAGGAAGGCATTTTGATTTAATTCCCATGTCTGTCAGAAAAACAGGAATTTGCTCTACGAAATTTCAAACATTTTGTTATTGACTCTGATATAATATCATCATCATCATCATCATAGGCATTCATTCGCTAACTAGTATTATAAGAATTTTGGCAGAATCATTATCTGTGGTTTCTTTGATGGCTAAAATACTTCGTCGCCACACGAGTATATTTAGAGCTGTAGCCTTTCAGTCGCTCACATCGATCTGACACACGTTTGCCTTGAGCACATCTCTGTATCGTTTAAGTGGCCCTCATTTTTTCTAGTTAGGAATAGATAATTTGCTTAGGAAGGTGTGAATCTGGCATGGGGACGTCCTGACTAGCCCAGCGAATGTTGAATGAGCATTGCCTCAACCTCAAATGCTGGTGGAAGTGGTTTCCTTAAGGATACTGTTGTTTGTTCGCCGGTCCGGCCAGTTTATTTTGAGCAATTATTTTAAGCCGCGCTGGAGATACTTTTCTAAACTCAGGTGTTTCTATAGGTTGTCCATGTTTCCTAACTGTAGCAAAGTGTCGCTATGATAAAGGCATTGTAGACCGCGAGCTTAGTTTGGGCATGTATGTCGTGGTTTTCAAACACCCTTTTTAAGAAACGTCCGAAAGCTGCGCTGGCGCACTTTAGTCGGTGTTGAATTTTCGCGTCGATATTTGCACTTGTGGAAAGATGACTATCAAGGTATGGAAAGTATTCTATATTATTTATAGTTGCTCCAATTTTAATTACAGCTGGATTTGGTGCAGGCGGATAGGCGGGTATAGCATTTTTGTCTTTTCCGTGTTTAGTTCTAGACCGATGCTTTCGTATGCCTGTTTTAATGCATTTAGAATAGTTTGTCGATGTTTCTCGGTGTTCGCTATGACAGCGTTATCATCAGCATATTGAAGCTCACAAACAGTTTTGTATACAACTCGAAGTCTGCTTAGATTGATGAGGCATTTTTATTTAACTCTTATGTCTGTCAAAAACCAGCCAAATTGCAACCCGGAAATTTTTAAATTTTGTTATTGATTTCCTCATAATATACAACAAATAAGACTGTATTTGTGATAAAACTGTTTATTTTTTTCAAACTTGTCTTACGAATGTTAAATTTTCCATTGAATCTTTGGAGAAAAAAGTAGAAAGAAGGATTTTGATTTATTTATTTATTTATTTTTCATTTTGAGATGTACCAAAACAGATCTAAAACTTAAATTAAAGCATTAATATAAATAATAGATTATGCTCTTTTAAAAAGATCTCTTGGTGGGAAACTTTCAGCCTGTTGCGAACTTTGTTTTGTTTAATTTCGTCTATGGTGCTTTCTTTGTTTGGAAAACCTCTAATATATATAGATGTCATAATTTTAAATATTCATGAAATTTCCTGGCCTTCGTGTGAAATTCTATTTAATTTGGGCGATTCAAAAAGTATGAACTGCATTCATGACTCAATATTTTATTGAGAAAAAATTTATACCAAATTCCAACCAAGCCATAAGTGTTATGTTCTTAATTAAGTTTTTTTGAGTCTTACAAGTTTTTTATTCCAAGTCTCATTTCATGGGGTATGGTAATCATTTCCAGACATGCAGCGACATACTACTATCCTTTGAGCTGATCCATATTGTTGTCTAAAGTCATCAAATCGAATTGATTTGCATTCCCTTGCAGTGAAGGGAATAGCCAGTTTTTTAAGATATAGAGATATTACTGTCCTGTGAAGCAAACTTACTAAAACGATTGAGAAATACTTATTAGCCTGTTGACTAGACAAAGGCGCGGGCGGTCACATTCTTTCAATCCTTTTTCTTGGATGCGGCGTACTATACATATATTGTTGTGACAGCTGACTTAGCCACATAAGTGAAAGGTCGTTACATCAATGAAAATGAAGTTTTCGTCTTCCATCAAGACCTAAAATAAAGTTCAACACTTGTGACTTGGTTGCAATTTTGTATCAGTTTTCCCTCTTGATACATTGTGTTGTGAAATCAGTTTGTTCTCAAAGCCCTATACAATAAAAATATGCTGCCTGTATATTGTATAGGTAGTACCAACTAACAACTATTTGAAGACTGACTATATTTTTAATATCCATGTGGCTTTTACGAATATTGTTTGCTATTCTATGTCACTGGGTGAGCCATCCTAAATATTTTAAAAAGTGCCAGAGACTTAGATCTGGAAATAATTGGTAAATTACCAAGAGGGATTTGTTATTCAGTCAGTTATTAGTTCAGACAAATATGTAAAATGAGCTCATCTTGGACAGATGTTGCTAAATTCTAATTATTATGACTTTCTTGTTAATTTGCCATTTACTTCTACTAGGTAAGCTAAAATCGATATCTCGCCTTGGTTTGACCCACCCAGTATTGTTGAAAACATAAAAGTATACCCGATAATAAATCGAATAGGTAATGGTATTTAACAGAGTAGTGCATGTAGAAAGCTTAATTGCAGTTTTAACTTGAGTGAAATGTCAAAATTTAACCTGGATTTTTTCCAAGCAGCCACAGTGATCTCGAAACCGAAAACAGTAAACTAAACCCTGGCCATACCGAAATATCTATTCTATAAGTCTTATAACAATACCATATTGATTAATTAGTACTTAATGACAAAATATTGTTAATTTTTTTTAATAAATGTTTTTAATTTTGATTTTGCTTATAATTTTTTTTTGTCCTTGTGTTTAAATTAACATCTTTGAGTTCTCTTGACCCTAACTTTGAAATCTAATGTGACAGTGATTTTGGATTTGGAAACTCGAGGCTTTGACGACTTGAAGTAGAGTTATTTAAGTTTTCTCTAAAAATGTCCAATATTTAGGCTATGTCGTGCATTATTTCTTCAGTGTAAAAATTTCAGTGAAAATTATAAATTAAGAAAAACAATGGACAAATCCAGGAGATATAAATTGTTTTTTCTCTCTACAGTCTTGGTGATGGTATTACTTTTCATCAAAGACACTTCGACGAAGACCAAGAGGGATTACTTCAAGAGCCCCCATTTGAAGAGGAAGAATTCAGATATACTTAACTCTTCTGATTGCCGCATTTTTAGATATTGTGAAAGTTGAATCATTTTTTAAAAATTTTAATGTATCCCGGATAATACCTGGTAGAGGTACTTAGAGATTTTAGTGGGAAATAAACGATTAAGTTTAAAAACATAAGTATTAAAAACTGATGTTTGCAAAATAAATAAATAGAGCCTTGTGATGTCTAAAATTTGAAATGGCTAGTGGGTGGGGGGCAGTATTTTCACTTGCCAAATATTGGCCAGGGACAGTCGCCAATCATTTTTTTTTTTTCGAAAACAATTGTTTTTCTGGCACGTCATTATTATGTTCACTATTGACCCAAATCCTTTACAAGGGCAACTTTTTTTTTCAATGGAAACTTATCTTGAACTTTATTACAAAATTTCATTATACTGGGATTACTGGGAAGAACAAGTTACTTCTACTCTTAAATTGTTTGATCCATCTGTAATTTGAGCAGGTAAAAAATATATTATTTTATAATTTTTTTCTCCTAACAAAATCAAAAGGGAAGGCATACTAAGACGACCTTAGTAAAAAATATTTTTTTCTTAATGTTGGTGCCAACTTGCATGCAAGCTCTACAAGCATTTCTAATAGATAGATACATACGTTACATACAAACAATAATTGGGTGATCAAGAACGAAAATATTTTTGTAGTGGAGGCACTAGTAAAGTCATTTCTCTCAAAAGTCGTAAACAATATTTTTTCTTCAACTTCGTTTAAATATCTGAAATGGTTATTCGAAGCCAAACTTCACTGTGTCATATGGTATACCGTTAAAAAAAAAAAATTATACCTACCTGTGAAAAAGGTGTAGTTCACCACATTGTACTGAGCGCGAAAACATTGTATTTTTGGAAGGTTGTGGGAAAAAAATGTATAACTATGATAGGTAACCTTTATCGAGAACTCCTTTTTTCCAAAGTGGAAAATAGTTATTTATGTCATTAGGCCTATTTAACACATTTTTACTCCTAAGAATTTCAGTAATTTTTTTTTTTTGAAACATCAAAAACTTGACATTTTGCTACAAAGAGAATGGTGACAGTTATTTTCGACTTGGCCAACCTTTCAATCTTTTCTATTGGTGAAACATAAATAGAATGGGAATATACACATAAAATAACAGAAGTGTGACTATTTAAATAATTAATAGAGTCCTCAGAAAACTTAGAAGTCTTAAGGGTTGTACTAGCATTTGATGGAGTAAAGGTTTGTCACAAAACTAGTATCATTAACACACACCAATAAATTTAGGCAGATTATACATAATTAAACGTACAAAATAAAATTGCAAATGGCAAAGCAGTCAGTCAAAACTCAAAATACCAAATCGAAGTACAATATTAACAACACGAAATATAGAAATGAGATCTTTAAAGCAATGTGACTACAATAAATGGACGAGCATAGCACGGATAACAGACAACATAATATAGATGACTGGTATCAGTAACAAAAGAAAAAGAGCATTCTTATTATATTTTCAGCCTACTTCTAACCAACTTCTTAAACTGACTCAAACTAGTTGTATCCAATTCTCTTTTTATACAAAAGCATACAAATTAAAGTAATGGCACATTCTGTAAATTGGCGAGCTTTTGTAGAAACATGTTGGAGGATAGGCCAGATAGAAAACATTAGAGCTTCGTGAATTCACTCTATTTTTGGCAAATGGTAACTGGTTCAGAATGTCTGGACAATTTATGTTTGCCTTGAGTATACGAAACAACGTGCATGAAAATATTTGAATTATTTTCCTTCCAAGCGACAGCCTGTCAAAGATTCCCAGATATTGTTTGTCACATCTCAACCGAGGATACTCCCGTAATTTTCTCAAGTACAGGCACTTCAAGAACTTCCTTTGCACTCTCTCGATGAGTGACACCCAAATATTGTACTGAGGGGACCAAATTATGGTAGGTACCGTATTCCAAAATCGGCGATACATGACTGTCAAAAACATGCAAACTAACCTTCAGACTGACACATCTGGTATTTTTTTTGCTGAAGCACTCGTTTACTTTACATTCAATTTAAAACTTTTGGTGTCACACCAGTTTGCTACCCTACAAAAGTCGCTACAAGTCTATATTACATCATGAACTTAGTTATTTTGTCAGTGGGCATCAGAAAAAATCGAATTGGATTGAAATTTTTTCCGTAAGGTGTGTTGCTTTCTGGCTTGCAGATTCAAGAGTTCAGGAGAGGGGAAATATTTGGTTTCAATATGATGACTGCCCGGCTGAATATGTCGGAATTTCTCATGATGTGTCAAATCGTGAATAGCATGATTGGTGGATCGGAAGAGGCCGTCTCCGTTGCGTAGCCTTCACTTGATTTAACTCCTGTCGATAGTTTTTTATAGGGCAATCTTGAACAAACGGTGTCTATATGAGCAGTGGCGGCGCGTGTCAAAACACGATGGTACTGCCACAATTCTGACAGCCGCTCAAAAAATTTTTGTTGTGCGACGGCAAATTTTTTACCAAGAAGTCTTCAAAAAAAAAAACCTCTGGCAAAAACATTTTTGATGGCGCATTCATGATATTTTAAAAATTGTAATCACCTTACAAGGACGTCATAAATAAGGTTTTAATTATTTAGGTACTACAGTGTTTTGTATGCTCTTTGCATCGTCTCGTTTGTTGATCGTTCCTGCTTTCTCTGGCTTCCCTTATTAGTTATTATTCCTTATTATTTGCGTCTGTTAACTTACTTATACTTTTTGTGCCGATATTTTAATTTTTCAGAGCTCTAAAGTGATTATCTGAAACATTAGGCGATAAACAATTTTCCAATTTTTATAACTCTATAAGCATTGTTATCAAAATTCAATAACCAGTCATATAGTTGTAACAAAAAAAGGCTCTATTGTTTTGGATGATCAGAACATTGCAAAAACACCTTATAGGATACAAAACTATAAGACAAATTTATGAAAATGTTTATTTAACTGTTTTATAAAAAAAACAGTCAAAAAATGTGTTTACTCAGTTTTCATGTTAAACATAAGTTTGGACTTGATGAATTAGTTATTATTTTATATTTATTTTAACTTTATAAACTGTATATACCTACTTTTTGCTATTATAGTAAATTGAGGCATATTATAATGACTATGAAATTTTCTTTCAGTTAGCGACATTAAATATTTTAAGTTCTGTCGTTAACTATTAAGGCCCCCATTCATTTAGTTATTTTTCATCTGTTCGACGTGGTGCTAAATCGTGGAGCTGTTTTTGCCCACACACTATGGGCGCTTTCTTTTATTCAGCAATGGATCCATCAATGACCAGTCTATCTTTGTCTAGTTCATAGAAAATCGGAATGGCTGTCTCATAATGCTGGCAGCAGATGGATCCATCGCTGAATAAAAGAATTCGCCCTATGTGAATCCGACACTCATCTTCAGTCGCTCACGGACAAACTTTGTCACGGACGATGGACAGAAGACAATTATTAGCAGTGGCAGTGGCAGCGGCAGCTTCGGTTTTAATGACTAAAATAGGAAAAAAAAGCGCTCAATATAGACTGACTAAACAATGGCTTTTAAAGCGAAAAGCCTCGCATATTCATCTCCTAGATGAGCTGAAACTACATCCGCGACATTGCTTTAACTACCTCAGAATGGATGAACAAACATATCTGGATTTGTTAAAGCTTGTGACTGTATGACCGTATATTATAAAAAACGACATTCAGCACCAGATCATTGCGATTCTTTAATTTCTTCCAGTTTCTTCCTAAAAGACCCGCGTAGTAAATCTATTACTTTTTTTTCTATTGTCTGTATTGTTGCGTTTATATATATATGTATTTCTTTATAATTAAAGGGCTTTCCGATCTATGTTTAGTATAAATTTAAACACATACACACAACAAGTGCCAACACTTCGCTCACCGCTCATGTAAAAAACGCGACGAATTTGAAGGAATTCCCCAACACTCCAAGACACTCCAGTTTGGTCTGTCAAAAGACGAACCGTCGCGTCGTCCCAAAAGTCAAGCTTCCCCAGATATTCTAATCGCGACAATCCGAATCGGCGATTCAAACAGATGAAAAATAACGAAATGTATGGGAGCCATAGAAACCTCTTGGAAATAACCATAAACATATAATAAAAGAGAGACTGAACTGTTTACATTTTATCCCGATCAAACATTGTTTTCGCCAGAAATCAATGTTGGCGAATTTCTGCGGATTGCCCTAGATCTACCGCCTGTGTTTGAAAACGTAGGGAATGTTGATTATATTGCATGCATTTTTTATGTCATCTCAATTGAAAATGTTACTACACAAATGAATTTCCGTTTTTCTAAATAAAATCTTTAATTTCTACTTTCAAAATTATTTAGTTTCTGAATAACGTAAATTTTTAATGTATTAGGGAAATAGCTGTGGCAACACTGTTTACTCAAGTGACGCGGGATTTGACACATTCATTCATTTTATGTCAAAAATTGACTATCCAGTGTTGCTGTGCTGTGTTTGGGAATATTTGCGATTTTCAATCAATTTTCAGTGTTTTTTCCGTCTTTCATATTTCATTAGCAACTACAATGGTTCTGTTGCCTATTCTAATCCTGAATTGGTATTTCGACGGTACGTGGTGTTATATTTTTTCCAGCCCAAGCAGTGGTGTGGTTAATTGTATATTTAGAGGACATTATGAGCAAATACTAATAGAAAAAACGCACGCCTCTAATAAAGGCAGCCGGGGAAATGGAGTGGCAGGTTACAGCGGTGCCATTTTTTAAGCCCATCTTTTTCTAACTTATGCATAACTCTGGCAGTATGTATGATTGTAAACAAATAATGATTTTTGAAAGAGATGTTCTGTCCTCTTTTATTATATGTCTATGGAAATAACCTAAGTCATGTAGAGTAATAATCAAAAGGCACTCCAATAATGAAAAAAAACATGTTTATTAAACAAGTAAAACCAGGTACATGGATCTCTATGACAAAATACTTTTTTTTTGAATGGTGCCAATAAATCTAAATATACATAACATAATTAATACAATTAATTAATAATATCAACACTCAGTTGCTGTGAAGGGATACCTAAATGTTTGAAATTTTCCTTCCAAAATGACAAATCAGGAGAAGCAATTTTTTCACATTGAATATTTTGATTTCCTTTCCGAAATCCTTCCATAACACGTGGCTGAATTGTGTTTAATTCATCAGCGTTGTTACAAATGACCTCTGCCAAAGTTGTTTTCCGAATTTCTTTCAATTGATCCAAAGTAAATATGTGAGGGTTTTCATACCAAAACCTATCACCATATTTTATTCTTGTAAATTGGTCTAATATTAGACATGTTAGGGTTGGACCAAGGATGCTTCCTTTTATTGGTTTTTCACTGAGGGCGCCAGTGTATAAATCAATATCGTCGACTTCTCTGAAATGGTATTAAATACATTAAGTGTTTCCGGCGATTGTTTTACTTTGCGTCGTAGCTTGTCCCATAGTTCTGATTATAATATGTCAATGGATTAGGAAAAGGCGAAAGCTATGACTCAAGGTTATAATACATTCGCCGGAATAACTATACGGGGTGACAATTTGAAAAATTCCCACCCCGATTATCTCAGAAACAAAATATTTTGGAAAAAATCCCCGAAACACGTCATTAAATTTGAACGGGGATGAGTTTTTATGCAAAATTCACCTCTCCTCTTTGAACTCCCAGAGCCACCTAAAAATCTTAAATAGGAAGGAGGATCAAGTGAAATCATTTTAAAAATCTTTCGGGGCTTATTCAGACTGACAACTTTGAAGTCTCTGCTATCATTGCCTTAGATATGACAAAGGATTATGACACATATCGGTGACTGGGTAAGCTCTTCAAATACTTTTATGATACAGTTGTCCTCCGCCATCGTTGTCGGTATCCTGTCGGGAAGAAAGGTGACTTACCTGTATATAGCTTTAATATCTTTCAAGGACGACGGTTCCATTATGCCACTAAGGCCATCGAATGCCTTAGTACCATTCATGCCACAATGATCTTTCCAGAACACGTAACCAGCTAATCCATGATCACGACCTCTTTGTATATTAAGAGAAACCAAATCCAAACCACAAAGCTTGGGTAAAGCATTTGTAGGTCTTTCAAATAAATGTGATTTTAGTTCATCGGAAAAATAACTATCTGAAGCATCGATACTGGTATTCATAGCTCCTTTTAGAGTTCCATCTAGTTGTCCTTTTTGGTATAATTTGAAAGGATCAAAAAGCATTTGACGCATTTGTATAAATTCCGGGCTTGATGTGTCTTGGCCTAGCAATTTAACTAAACCTGGAATAATAGTGTGAGCAAATCGAAATGCTGCAGTAGCAAACTCATTGGCGATACTTGGATCGACACTTTCATTGTACTTATTAAAGTAATCCTTGGATTTGGGAAGCAAGTCGTGCTTTTCCATTAATTTTTTTCCTAGAATAAGAATTATGTATCGAAAATTAATGATTTTATTTAAACGTCGCCTCTATGTACCTAAAAGGATGGGTAAGAACTCGTTATAAGTAATATGCTGCATTTGAGCCGCCACAATTTTTCTAGTTTCTTGGAATACCATTTCATCATCCCAATGGGAATTTATTTGGAGAATATTATTTGCTATTAGATTATGTTGTCTGGCCCATATTAGATGCATACTGGTAAGATGTAGGTTCTCATTGGCCCTCAAATCGCCTAAAAATGAAGCATGAATTTTCGTTTTTTCTATATAATCCATAAAAAAAATTTATCTGAACCGCCAGAATTTTATTTGGATTGAACAAATGAGCAACGTAAGGTGAAAAAATCTTTTGATGTTCACTTTTTTTTTAAATAGAATGCACTTTATTTTCTTTCAAATCCTGAATGTTCTCGTTTTTCTCATGCAGATTATATTATAATATGTTAATGTTTCTTCCAATAGTTTTGGAAATATCTACACCTTTTACCTATCATCTGTAATTACGGCTGCAGGTGGGTGTCAAAATATAGTGAATCACCCTGTACATTTTTATTGAAAATTTGCATGAAAATTAAAAAAAAAATGGATTGGAAATTGAAATAATTTTTATTATTCATTGACGACACCTGGCGGAATCGATAAAAGTTTCATGAACGACGCACGATATATTAGGTCATCGCATTTTCAGCAGAACCAAGTCACAAAATTTGGAGTGGCAATGCAGGAGTGCACGTTTTATAATTTACAGGTTTATTCAAAATCCAGACGGTGCTCGAAGAAATTGACAGGCGTTTATAGTAGGTACATTGGTTCAACAAGTTTCATTGTTAAAAAAGCAGTTTCTTGTTGTAGATTGCTGTAGTTATCTCGTAGCTACATGGGATTGAGTGTAGTTCATAGGTAAGTACCTATGGATGCGAATCACGAATTGCGAATTTCGTGGTGGACAAATCCACGTTTTTCAACCCTTCCATGCATAATCATTTTAGGATTATTCACGTCACTTTAGTATATTTACATGTTTTATTTGGTTATAGCCGTAAATAATAATTGTTTTTGTTGTTTCTCGTTGTGTTTGTTGTAAATTGCAATTCGCAAGAAAATATTACCTATATTATGAATGCGTAGCAAATTTCATTATTTCTTTGGCTATAAATACGCGCCAGCGCTGCATATTTGTTTTTGAAAAAGAGGAATAATGGAAGAAGTCGAAGAACCATTCGGACGATTGGTACCGATGAAATTAGGTACCTACCTAAAGAAAACAACAAAGATCATAATAATTTAGTCCAAGAAATGAAACTTTAAGAAAAAGTGTTGAAACTAGGTAGGTACATACCATAGAAGGAAAATACAATAAATTACAACATAAAAAAATCTAGAATGAACTATCGAAAGCCGAAACCGAAACAAAACAACCGAAGGAGCAGAGAACAAAAGCATTTTTGGAATACGCGTGCGCTGACATAAAATTTGCAATGAAAATCGTAAAAAATTGAAACACTTCCAATTTTCCGATACCTTTTGATTTCAAATTTTCGAGGATCTGTTCTCAGGCGGGTCATAATGTTACCGTGCGCCAGATTTTTCAACAGGGTATAAGCAAGAGTTTTCACGTTTTTGATGTATTTACGTCTCCCAGAATCTGCTCTTTGAGATTAGGCGAGTGAGCAATCGTAGACTTGAAATGAATTTAAATTTCAAGAGGGTGAAATAGAATATAAATACCTACTGCTTAATGCTGTATTTTTCATAAAACATTTTGACCCGCGGTGCGGCGAATATAGTATTATGACTGAAAACAGATCATGGAATTTTATTGGTCGGCTTTTCGCGCCAGGGCTACAACGTGGCAATCAAAGCAGTGGCATCTCACTGAATGGGCTATTGTGCGCGTCAAAAATCAACGTGACATGAAACTAACCAGACCCATAATCCAGGTTCATGACTGATGGACTGACCACCGAATGGTCCGATCTATTATAAATTTGCAAGTACCACCAGAATGATAGAAACAAAGGTAACGATCGCAAAGCAGGTTGACCCTTGTGCAACCTATGAATAGAGATACCAAAAACAGTTCCAGCTCCTCCTCCTTGAATGAGAAATTGTCTGCTGAATATCTTGACAAAATTTAACAGGAATAGTCAATGCTTAAAACAGCTACTCTGACAGCCTGCCAAAAATTAACAATCTTCATTCATCTCAAGGATTAGTGTGATAAGAACAATATAAGAAAATTCAGCATGTCGTTGAATAGAAGATGAAGTCCGTCGATATCTGGCAAAACGACAGCTCACAACAACAAACCTATCTTCAAGCTACGGATGAAGTACAAAGAAGAACAATAATTCTGAAACAAGAATGGACAACAAAGTCAACCAAATTGGAACATTTGGTAGCCTCTAACAACTCTTCAGCGCCCCAAAAGCAACCTTCTCTACAAAAGGTCCTACTCCTCTAGCTACTAAAAGATCCAGTTTCTGAGTGACGTCCCCTCCCATCAAGAGGTTGCAAAATCTATCAGCCTATTAAAAAATAATAAAGCTGCTGGGTTAAACGGTGACTGTGTAGAGCTTCCAAAGTTGGCAAGCCGTGCGCTGGTCGAACACATACATAGGTTGATTGCCAAAATATGGAACAGATTTGTGAGACACCACCTATTGTCACGATTTTCGAGAGAGGCGACAAGGCACAGTTTTTTAATTATCAGGAAATATCACTGTTCTCTAAGCCGGAAGAATTCTTTCATTCTCTCCCAACGTTTTTTTTTCTAGTATGAAGACGACCCTACCCGAAACACATTGTCATGATTTTTAGTGCAAGACAAATGGCAGAAGAATCGCAAGAGACCGATTTCACTAATGCATTATAAGTCAAAGATTTCATGGAGGATCTGTCCCAGTTTGAGCTGGTGTTTCTCATAAAGTCCTACGCCTGATAACGCCTATGTAATTGAAGGCTGTTCTAAGGATTGTATGTGGTCCATTTTTTGGGCAGATGATAGGTTTGAAGAAAAACAGTCTTGAAAATCCCAAAAATTCTTTTATTTAAATACTACCGGTTTCGAAGCTTCAACGTTTCATCTTCAGGTATAAAAGACTAAAAATTGAAAAAATACTACAATGAGCATAGGTTGTATTATTTACAATAATACAGCTTCGAAACCGGTAGTATATAAATAAAAGAATTTTTGGGATTTTCAAGACTGTTTTTCTTCGAAGGCTGTTCTGTTTTCCAATAGATACTAACTAAACTGCTGGACAAATGAAGCGGAACAAGGGAATTTTTAGTTCAACTTTGGATTCCACTATAACACGAACTCAAGAAGATATCAATGGGTGGTTTGCGTAATTTAGAAGTTAAATTTCGCAAACCGCTCATTGATATCGTTTTTAGTACGCGCAATATTGGAATTTGAGGTTCAGCTAAAAATTCGCTTGTTCCGTTTCATTTGTCCAACACCATAGTATGTGAAAGCGTCTAAAAACTGGCTTTAAGGTCTGAAGCCGGGTACTCACCGCTTGTACAACATGTTAAGTAAACATTTGCTAACCTAAATGCAATTATATGTGAACAAAAATGCGCGCATGTGCACAAGTTCGCATTGACTTATAAACATAATATGTCAGGTTTTTGTGCCAAGTTGGTTCATAACACCAAAAGATTTTGGTTTGTGATGCTGATGCATTGCCAATATTTGTTGTACTTTAATGAATGTTGGTCTTACTTGTCCTTATTACGCACCTCTTAAACAGTTCGTTAATAGAAACCTTGGCGACGATTGTCAACGAATGCTTTTTTGGCAAGTATGCGGCGTTAAAATACTTTGAAAATTTAAACCGAAAGTAAACAAGTGAATAGATATACGTTTTGATGTTACCTGTAGAGAAACAATATCTTCCTTTGCGTTTTTCCTCTTCCCTGTTACAACCATCACTCATATCATCAGACATAGGTAACAAAGTCCTACCATCATCAGTTACAAACATCTTCAGCAAGCCTTTGGACGTGGTTCTTAGGGAAACAACCTTACTTTCATCATTTCCATAGATTACTGATCCATCTATAAATGCTGAAGCTTGGTTCATTTGTTCTCTAGGGCCTTAAATAATTTATTAACTCAATAATCGATAAGTAATGCGATCTGGTATTTACCCAAACAACATGTCGGGCAAGGAGCCGATCTAACAAACTCCATACAAGTGACGTTATACTGAGCAAAAGGGTCATCTTTTTCTATGAGTACAGGAAAACATTCGGGTGATAAAATTCCTTGGCTTTGACAACAGGAAATGCTACTGCCATTTTGTTTTTGACTTAAAGCTGTAGCAGTTATATCGTGATCCAAAAATTGGCCCCAAACTGCCAGCATTACTGAAAATTTTGAGTCGTCTCTGTAAGATGGCCTGTGAACTTCTAGACTTATTGCTCTAGCTGTTGGTAAAGGCCCTCCGTTTTTGGATATTCTGGGCGCACTTATGCCTAAAACAAATGAAAATCTGTTATGAGAACTTTACAATCAGTACAGGTGCCAGCAACCTTCCGGGGCGTCGGGTAACTTGGATCGCAAAATACGAATTGGTTTGACAATAAAAATTGAAAAGACATATTTTTTTTTCTACAATTTTTTCATTTCCGAAATTCGGATTTTAAGGAATAATAGCAAATACCTTCTATCTACTAAAAATTTTTTTTGTCAATTAGATTAAGTCGCAACCGTCATTACGGGAGAACTTCCTGATGTTCCCAAATTTGTTTCATGTGCAATTGACACTAAAAAGTTTTATTTTCTCTGATACTGAACAAACATATGGTATGAATGTGCTCTTCCAAAATAATACTTACCATCGGCATAGTCAGGTTTAACAGCCCTGATAAATGGTCTATAAGCAACCCCAAAAGTAACAGGTCTTTTCAAATTATTACAGGTTCCATTGTATGATCGATATTTATGAAATGTGTTACATTCAAATGTAGAGTTAGTACACAATTCTATTAAAAAACTGTCCGTAAAGTTTGTAAAACAAATAGGAAGCTTCTCAATACTGTTACTGTTCCTAAAATAGATTGTTTTATGCTAAAAAAAATACTAAAGACTAATTTTTGACATACTTATAGATAAACTGTGTAGCTCCTTCCATCTGATAACCTTGCCTAGAAATATTTCTAGCTTTTTCATTTGTACCTAAAACTTTTTGATGTCTATAACTGGGACTATCAATTTTTAATGATGGTGTATTATTTTCAATTGCATCTTTTTCTTCCAATAATATCTTTCCTTGTGTCATGGCATGACTCAAGTTAGTAGACCTATCAAAATGCCTTGTTATTGAACGATCTGCCAATGGCCATGAGATATTATCGAAAAGATTCAAAAACATATCGTCTGGTAAAGTTTCATTATTAATTTCAGTGTTATTCGTCGCATCATCTAATGGCAAATTGATTGTGTAGGATACAGTTATGACTAGCCCTGCCAAAAAAACTATTCTGAAAAAGAGATTCGTATTTTTTATTATTTATGAATAAACGATTAGGGCAGATATATCTACTAAAACCAAACAAAGATGGAGATTTTTTTTTTTTATGGAAGTCGCGAAGCCATTGAAGTATAAATGAAATTTCATACGGAATCAGTGTTTCATTTTTAAACAAAGACTTTTAAATGCGTACCTAATCTGTTTACTTTCTGCTTGATTGAGAATTCCAAATTTAAAAACTTACGTTAGAATTGAGCATACGCAACACTGAAACTGTCGAATTCGTCTTTTTCTTGACAAACTCGACCCAAAAACATATTCCGGTTGTTGAGGTTGTAAAAGCCTTATTCTTTCACTGTTCTCTTGTTCAGACATTTTTTTTAATTTAATTTTTATTTTATTGTATCTCTTCTATACCGTTTCGCAAACAAGAACTACGATATATTTTAAATGAAAATTCATATTCAAATGAAACAAATACCTACGTCGATACAAAGAAAATTGATACATGGAAGCCAATCCAATGATGTAGAAATGAAACCCTATATGGTATTAGTAAAGTTGCGCAGCTACTTTATTTCAAAACTCGAAATAATATTTATATTTAAAATAAAAAAATTGGCTGGTGGGTGAAGAAACTCCCTATATTTAAAACAACTCAAAGTATTGTCATTATTTTTTTTCCATCTCCCTGAACTATTAGAAAAATATTTCTAGCTTCAAAAAGGTAACCAACTCAGGAAGTGACAAGATAACTTCGATTTTTGAAAAAATGTAAACAACATAATAAGGATATATTAATACGAAATTATTTGATTTGAAAAATCTGATATAATTTAAATTTGGATGAAAATAAACAAAAATTGAAAATCAAATTCTTTAAATGAATTATTAATCTATAGTTTTTGAAATGATTAGGAAACGGTCATTTTTATTTGTTTATTTAATTCTTCAACAAATACCTACCAAGCTTTTCTCCTTCGTCAGGGCTATAATAAAAATTTTAGTGTAAAAGGTAGGTAAAGTATTTTTAATTCCCATGGAAACACTGAAAAAACATCTAGTCGGCATATATCAAACAAATAAAGGACATGGGCGTCACATAATTTTTATTTATTCGAATAATAATAATCAATATAAAACAGCAAATGAGACGTTAGTAGCCCACCCCAATAATTCAACTTATAGGCGCGTGCCGACCTAGATTATTATTTTGGGCTACTGTAGCGATATTTCCTCGCTGCTTATATTTTGTACAGGGAAACTTACACAATAGATTTTCTATGAAATAAATAGTAGAGAGCGACGTGTTGTTGAAATATCCTCGTATAATGCAGTGTTTCAAGTCAGAATAGAAATACTATACATACATACACAATATAAATTCTAAAATAAAAAGAAACTTCATAATATATACACACACCGGCAGAATTAGGGGAACGGACAAAATTTACACTAAGTTTGACATCAATTTTCTCTTCAACCCTCCGCTCGATTTCGATGAATTTTTCACATATTGAAGCTTGATTCTTCAGGAATACATCTGACGTAATGATTCGTCTTTATATCATATACGGGGATGGAAAGAAAGTCAGTAATTTTCAGAGTTTTTTGAGACACCCTGTGGAGTGAACCACTGGAAACTTAGAACTGTTTTTGACACCAAATTGTAGCCTGATTTTTTCCGAACATTTTCATTTTTTATTCATACGAATTGGATATGAAAATGTGCAGTTTTCCAACTTCAAGTCGTATGTGTGAATGTTCACTTCAAGTTAAATATAGCTCGCAGTTTTACCTTTTACCGATCAATTTATTGTGAAAAGAATGCTCACAAATATACAGGGGGATCAGAAAGTACCTTTCATGATTTCCATTTGGTGGAATGTTATTTATCTAAACTAAACTCTCCCTTCACACTTAACCAAGGCTTAGGACTTTTTCAATTTACCCCTCAACAGACCTCGCCACATCGGTAGGATATTGACGAATAAAATCCAACATGGTGGATCAAAATCCACGATTTATCGTAATGTGAGACGTTGGAGGTTTATTGTCTTGCAAACATTATGGAACAGGTGTAGAACAGTTGTTACGATAAATTTATCATTTACGTAACATGTTCCATCTCTTAAAAGAAGGTACCGCCATCTAGTACCTGATAGATTTATTTTTTAAAATATGATTTTTATTATTTCTCATTGACAGTAGTCATTCATATTTTTTTTTTAAATTTAAAGAAATTATATTTATCTCACTTTTAGCAAATTGATATATTTCTGTCTTTCTCTAACTTCTCATTCTGAAATAATTATTTTTGCATTAATTACATTATTAATTAGTGGTTTTCTGTTTTCAACATAACCTTAATTTAAAGTATTGTAATTTGTAAACGATTAAAATAATTCTAGTGTGTTTTTATCTATTCCCTTTTAATCAACGTAGTGTTTCATTGATTAAGTGAGCACGGTCTTTTGTGTGTGTTAAGTGTTGTCTACTGGTTAATACGCAGTTTAGTATAAAAAACACAAAACTGGTTTTCCTGAAGGGTTTTGCTTCCAAAACAGTCTCTCTGGCAGTGGTTAAGCAGGCAAGTCGATTTTGATTATTGTAATTTTTTCCTTCAGATTTCTAGATTTTTCCTTATTATTTAGCAATTTATTTTACCATCAGTGTATACTATCATATCACTGTTGAGTTTTTACCTGATAAATCTTATCTTATCTACTTTTGAAATATAAATATTATATTTTAATTTTTTATCTGCAAGCGTTTGGTTATGACGTTTTTACATATCCATTTTTCTAGTATTTGAGTTATGTCATGAGACTCATAACAGAACAGTGGCGTTATAGACTAGCGGTTATGAATTCTTAACACAACTAGTGGTGTTATGGACTTGGTTATGAATTCATAACACAACAATTTTTGGTGATTTGACAAATGTCAGAGTTAAACCTGTAAAGGTAAAATGAAGGTCTACAACGACTAATAAACGAAAATGATTGAAAAAACATTCTAATTTTTCGCTTTGTAGATAAAACGTTGTACATCACACGTGCGTTTACACATAACTACAAAACTCGTGTTATTAGAACGACTCGGTCTACGACCTCGTCGTTCTAATCTTTCACACTCGTTATTGTAATCATGTTCATAAACGCACTTGTACTGTAAATAACTATTATCTAATTGTGTGCCTCCATTTTGTGATTGGTGTTCCCACGTTTTTTTTGAGGTGAGTCAATTGAGAGTTTTGGGCTAATAAATAGGTACTGCTGCTCTGGTTTTCGGAATCAATTGTTAGTGTGGGATTATTGGACCATTTGCTCTAAATAGAGTCGGTGCAAACCAAATTTGTGTGTCCATCCCTATCAACTCTTTACTGAATCCAGACAGAGGCCTGTATAGCAATTTTCTGTTAGACTCCTTCAATTATCTTCTCGAGTAAGAAGCGCGCTGGAAGGCTGAAATTTGAAAACAGAAATCCGGATACGTCAAAAATTCATTTAAAAAAGGTTTTAAATAAAACATCTCAAGAATTGTGACAATTTCGGGATTTTATTAATTTAATCGTCAGCTTTATCTTGTAGTACCTATAGTAGGCACCTTAACTTAACAGGAAAATTTGTCTATTTGGGGAAAATCTAGAGATTTATATTTTTTTAATTTTTTATCTGATTCAACACGAAGAGCTCCAGTTCACGGAAGTGGAACCCCAATATCCATTGAAGAGCTCCGGATTGGAAAAGGTACATACAGTATCGGTGTGTCACCAGAACAACCAAACTGCTAAATGTCAAATTTTTAAAAGCAACTTGTCATTTGCATTGTTAGTTACGTTTTGCAAATATTTGAATTGTGAAAATAAAGTTATTGTTTGTTGAAATTTGAGTGGTTTCATTTGCACATAAAGGGGCTACACGTTATCTTTATTTTTGAATTCCATGACCCCATAGGTTCTCTTGTCTTAAAGTACAAATAACAAATTTATTTGTAACACAGTACCACAAATAAAAATCGAACTGGAAGAAGTACGTAGAAGGAGAACCATCAGCAGAAGGCTCAAAGAAATTGGTTTGAAGACCTATAGAGCAAAGAAGACTCCAGCAGCGTCGAGTGGCAAGACTACACTTCGCTTTTTACAGCATTTGCAACTTGATCCTTTTTTTGAGTTGATGTCAAGGTGAAAATTCGTGATTTTACTTGAACAAATAATGATAAATTCCTCGGGTAAATTGAAAAAGTACTAAGCCCTGCTTAAGTGTGAAGGAAGAGTTGTTTAGATAAATAACATTTCACCAAATAGAAATCATGAAAGGGACTTTCTGATCCCCCTGTATATTTGTGAGCATCCTTTCCACAATAAATTGATCGGTAAAAGGTAAAACTGCGAGCAATATTTAACTTGAAGTAAATATTTATTCACACGCACGACTTGGAGAACGACACATTTTCATATCCAATTCGTATGTCAACGTGGAGAAAATTAGGGTCAATATCCATCAATTCTTCGAAACCCTGCATTTTCAATAATATTGAAAATATCAGAGTAAATAAAAAATAAAAAGGTTCGAAAAAGATCAGGCTACAATTTGGTGTTAAAAACTGATCTGAATTTCCAGTGGTTCACTCCACAGAGTGTTTCAAAAAACTCTGAAAGTTACTGACTTTCTTTCCATCCCTGTATATAATATAAAGACGAATCATTCAATTATGGTAATACGTTAGATGCATTCCTGAAGAATCAAGTTACAATCTGTGAAAAATTTATCGAAATCGCGCGGAGGGTTCAAGAGAAAGTTGATGTCAAACTTAGTGTAAATTTTGTCCGTTCCTCTAATTTTGCCAGTGTGTGTAATTATTAATTATTCCAAAAACCATAAATTATCAACGGTCGTTACACATAAAAATGAATTAATCTATACCTAATATCTAGGTGGAAGTTCAAGAGTTCAAATTCAGTGAAATAGTAACCTACACGACGTTCTATGTTTTGGAAGCGATTCTAAGACTTCATCTGTGTCAAACAAATATGAAAAACTTGAAATAGCGATCTGATTATTAAATTCGATAAACCTCTCAATTATCATTTTTTTGCTCTGCGAATGGCCTGTTAATTCTATCAGTTGGTATGGATACTTATCGTTAAGGCTTCCTTCAAATGGTTGGTGCAAACGGCCATGTGTCGTGAATCTAAGGGCCACCCTCCACCACATCTAGGTCCAAATCCAGAAACTTAAATGCCATTGTTCATTTGAATTATACAATGGAATTCCTGAATACTGTCGTAAAAAGTGGCGCCAGCGAAGCAGGGAGATGAAATTGTAGAAAATTGAATTTTGTCGACCAACCCTTAGGTGGCAAGCGATTCGGAACTGATTGATAAGGAATCTATGCGAATATTTTTTTAAGGTGATAGTAGGTCTGTTTCTGCAGAAATCACAGACACAAACCAGTCAGAGCGAATTTCATTGGTCGAAAACAGTCAGAAAACCAGTTTCAACCAATGAAATTCACTCTGACTGGTTTGCGATTTGATTCAGTTGGATGGGATGGCGACTATGAGATTTTACTGTTCTTAATACAATTTCGAGTATACCTACCTACTAGCAAAAGAAAAAAAATCGGATATCCACAGCATATACAAAAACAAACAGCAGGTTAACTCTCACGCGCATCTCTTCTGCGCACACCGCCATTCGAGTATACAGCCTATCATTAAACGCCAAAAGCATGAGATTAAACGCCAAAAGCATGAGATTAAACGCGCATCTCTTCTGCGCACGCCGCCATTTTAAGATATAAAGCTCGAGTTGGCCGGCCCGCTGATTTTTGTATATGCTGTGGTCGATCTGCATGCATCTTGGTCCAGCGAGATCCTTTGAGTCATCTGACCATCACATTCGTGGACTTCCTCTTTTTCGCATATGAGTCAAGCGTGATCTCCGATAATTTATAGTTATTTGGTTCCATCTGTTGTGGACTATAATTTTTTATAGGACACAAACGCCATGAATATGGTACCTAAAACAGAGCACCCTTTACCTTAGCCGCTTTCCAGTATGCACATTGGCGCGCTCTGGCGCGCTCCAGAGCACCTCGGGGGCGCCACGCACTAGATTTGTACCGTTCCAGTATCATGGCGTGAGACGCCTGTCTTAGTGTCAAATATGTCAAATTTTAAAAATAATTATGTTTGTTTGTGCAGTTTGTTTTTTTATTTATCAAAAATGAAAGAGAGTCAAAATTATATATTTTAAAATGTTCAATCTTGAGATATAACAAGAAATAAATAGATAAATTGCCACCCACGGATGTGACAGCTGATAGGTTGACGCGTACGTACAGCTCGGGAGCTCAACGCCCCGAGTAGCTCCGGGCGTCACACTCCCATACTGGAAAGCGGCTCTTATCTCACTAGTTGGAGACTCGCTAGTGAACGGGATCGTCACGAAGATACCACACATAAATTTTTCAAATAAAGACAGTTTTTACAATCGTCACTGATTTATGATCAGCTAATTATCCTTGATAAAAATGTCAAGTTTCACGGCGCTTTTTCGCCAGTTCCCGCGCAAGTAAGAGTGTAACCAATATTGTATGCACTTGTGTGTGTTTTTTTTGTGAACGAAAATCAACGCAAATCGATGCAAACCATACCATACCCAAATTATCAGTTTTGTCAGCACTTTCAAAATTGTAAATAGACTAAACAAAGAGATTCCTTAACACCAACACCAACTGAATATTCACTTCGCATCTACTGGTATAATGTTTTAGCAATTATCCTTTTGTGGCTTTATGCGTTGTAGTTAGCTTCTAGGACTCCATAAAGACAATTTCAATATCCTCTATGGTGATCCCTAGTTTGGAACAAAAAAAGAAATTACAGTTTGTGTAAGTTACAAATGCAGCGTCCTAAATCTTCTTTCAACTGAAGAAAACCTTCAAAAATTGGTCGGAAAAAAAAACAAATTTAAATTAATTGTAAAAGTGATTTTATTTCAAGGTCCAATCGTTTTATAATACACAAAGACAGATAAAGATACAATTAAGTAGTATTATTGTAGTTATTAATATGGTTTGTATATGGTATTTATAGCGAGATATAAAGATCACATAATATATTCTTTTTTGGTCTGATATATGTTTTAAGCGTGTTTATCCATGTAAAAACGTTCCACTATCATTTTTCCAATAAATATATTAATATGTTAATTTGATTACTGCTTTACTAAAATAAAGTGATCTTAAAATGAAATATAAAAGCTATATCAACATTAATATTATTCAAAAGGACTCAATATAAAAAATATAGTTGTATGCCCAACACAACACAAGCTATGTACAGTGGCGTATAATTTAATCTCGATTACATTCAACAACAGTCAACGTCAATTTTTATTAAAAAAATGCATTATCTAATTAATATTAGTAACACAAGTAAAACAAACCTTTATTAAACAAAAAAAAAGTATTGAAATACTTATTTTTGAGCCCGTGTTTGGCAAAAAACAGATCCTTCCTGTTCCTATGCTAAAAGCTACATGCAGTCTTATTAGCTCTCGTTAAATTTACTCCGGGAACTGTGACAAATAAATTTCATGATGCTTATACCTAATAATAATGTTCTTATAACTTTATAAAAAGGAACATATGAGTACATACGATAAAAAATATGGGTACCCTTAAAACCTCTATTTTTTTAATACACAAGGTTTAACATAAAAAATAGGCTCTATAATTTCATTATTCCACTCAACCACCTAGTAATAGGTAGGTATGTCCTAACATAAGCAAATTTTTTTGCATCTTCTTAAAGCAAATACAAAATACTATGGTTTATGGTACGGAGAGCCAGCAACGTATACAGTATTTTTCATCCACTATTTCTGCCCCTACAATGCTTTCTGTATTATTTATTTTCAACACATATGGTTTCTACCCATTTTTTAATCATTCCTACGCTATAACTACCAGAGTTCAGTAAGCTGAGGTTTCAAATCGATTTTACTACAAGAAATTGTGAGCCTCTTGCCAGAACTTGGTTTATATAGAACATTGCTGAAACTTAAACCATTTGTATTGAAAAAAAACCTGATTAATTAATTAGCTATTAGATATACAGATAAAGTAAGGTAACTTATTACTGATATTTCCACTATATTAGAAGCTAATTTAGTATACTGAAAGAAGTTAGTTTACTTTATCCTTAATTATTGATTACCGAGTTCCACCAAGAAGTATTGGCCAAATTAATACAATTCATTTGTTCAATTGAACTAGGACAGCAAATAATAATTCAACCATTTTTTTTGTTTTAATTCGAACAAGCTGTGATATGATTCGATGTTGAAAAACAATCAAGTGTGTATTGCAAACCTAGGCATGACAGGAAAAGTTAGTGTAAATTTGTATTGCTTCTATTCCTCCCAAGACGATTAGTTCAAATTAAACTGAGTTGGTATAATGCTAGACTTCTAGAAAGCGGCTGATAAAATTTAGCTATTTTTATATAAAGTAGGTATGTACATGAAAAAACGAGCGCAGTTAGGTAAGTACCTAAACCAGCTATTTGATTGTTGGCATTTTACGAATATTTTATAAGTATATGAATATTCATGTCTGTATCTTTATAATCTTTTCCAAATTCGTCCCGCCATCTCTTTAAACTGTCATAGTTGCATAGCCGATTATTAACATAGTGGGCGCTTTCCTCTATTCTTGTCTAGTTCATAGAAAACCGGAATGGCTGTCTCATAATGGTGGATTCAGATGGATACATCGATGAATAAAAGAAAGCGCCCAAAGCGAGGTTTTAATGACACTTGACAGGCTTAAAAGATGTATTTTTACTCTCTAGTCAAGTGAACTTACTAAGTTAGTATGCCACGTTTCAAGAAATAATATAAAATAAACTGGTATTTGAAATTGACAATAATATTCAGTATACAAAATGATCGCGCCAGGTCTTTCATCTCAAATGGTGTTAATGGTAATAGCCTAAGGTAATAACTCATCCTCACTTTCAATTAGATGCATTTCAGAAAGTTAGGCACTTGACATTTAAAAAAAATGACACTGAAGTGAACACAAACAATTCAAAAGTTATCAGCGTTAAACATAGTAACGAAGAGCTAGCTACAGTTGTTAATATAATACAATTATTTGGATATCGATGATGAAACGCAATTATATAATCAATAAAAAAAAGACGATTATGCGAGAAATTGGAAGAAATTCGGAAAAAAAATTCAATGTTTCACACAGCAGAAAATCAGATTAATTGCCATGGCTGCTTTTCTAGCCTCTGCTATGAAACATTAGCCGAGGTATTAAATCTTGTGCTTTTCTAACTGGTAAAATAAATAAATATTGCTAAATCAATAATACAAATGACAGATATGACATTCAAGTAACATTAAATGTGTTGCAGTGATGTAGATTTCTGAATGCGTCATTGTTAACTTATATATAATCTAACCAAAATATAACAAAAAAATAATTATAAACGAATATTTCATTTTTCAGTAACAAGTAGTGTTTAAGGTGGAAGATCCTCTTTATTACAAACCATTTCGATAGAAACTGATCGTAGTGGTACAGAAAATACAGGTTTTTTGAGGACCATGGGTTTTGTTTTAGTTGGAGGTTTAAAAGTGGAAGTTGATGTTGAACAGCTTCCAAGTGTTGCATATTTTCTGTTTGGTCCTGGACTTGTTATAGTCATAAAGTCAGTATCGTCAAGTTGTATCTTTGTATTTTTTTTCAAAGTACATTGGTTTTGTTTAGCAAAAGTTTCGGCTGCTGTAGTCATTTCGGGGCTTTCTATGTCTGGTTGAGTATTTTCAGTATTATCTCTATCTTCTGGCGAACCACTCAAACATAAGTTAGAAAAAACAGAAACGGAACTTGCCAAAGGTAAGTCCATAACGAGATCAGGGGTATGACTTTGCCTTTGAGGAAAAGGTTCGGAAAGTCTTTGAGTTTTCACAAGAGGTGATGCTGCTGCTTCAATGTTAGCTCTACGTTGCCATAAATCTCTATTTTTCGAAAAATTTACGTTCGATTCGTCTATTACAGCCTTCTCGCGTGTTATGACCTGAGATTCTTCATTTTGAATATTCTCTGGCTCAGATATGTTCGAATTTATATGCTTAACTTCTGATGTGTCGATTATTACTGTTTCTGGAGGATTTTTTTGTTGGTCAGCTTCTGGATCAGCATTATCATTGGGCTGAAATAGAATTTGATTGTTAAAATTATCAATACAATCAGGGATTTTGGATGAAATTATGTATTTAGTCATTTCTTTAATATTAGTACAAACATGCAGTGCTGAGTGCTATTACCTTAATAAAAATAGTATTCTCCAAGGCATAAAGCTCCCAACAATTTTGAACATGAAAACTTTTCTTTTTCTACTTTGTTGTCTCAAATTTTTGGGGTTTTTAAAACATAGAGAATAAGAACAGACATTTTGGAAACTGCTAAGATTTGCTTTGCTAGGTTATTTCGACAGTTTGAATTGAATCCCCAAAGCACAGGTGCCAATTTGAAGAGGCGTTTCATAGAGAATTGTAAAAGGCAAAAATTGTTATAAACCAAAATGGTGCAAAAGCAATAGTTAATAATAATAATAAGAGGTCAATTAGAAAAAGCTGGAAATATTGTTTTTGCCATGCAAAAATGTAAAATAAAATTATTTACTTATGCTCACCTTAAGTGTATTGATGACCCGAGGTGGTATAATTATTTCTATGAAATCAACAAAAAAATAAAATGTGAAATTACCTCTATACTTTTACACTAAAAAAAACTGAAGCTGCTGTTTCATTTTATTTTTTCAAAGCACCCGTACATGCAAAATGCGCTAACAACAAACAAAAAATAATTCAAAAAAGTTCGTTTCATTTATTTAATAAACTATAAAACATATAAGGTACTAAGGAATTAAAAATATAAACACAAAAATATGTATACATACAATTCATGTACATAAAAAAATGAATAAGTAATACCTAGAGTTAAGATTCTATTAAACTTGACTAAAATAGCATAATCAATTGATAATTATTATTAAAACTAACTTATTGTAATTTTTTCCTGCCCCAAAGTCTGAGAAATTGATTTTTTTAACTAATTTTGTATTATATTCATTTAAAAACCTTGTTTCTTGAATAGGTTTTTTTTTAACATAAATCACAAAAGAATTTAGAATCATTTTTTTAGAAACGCACCCATTTCACTGGGTGAGGTCGGTCAAGAGTTTGTTGATCATTTACAATACCAAGCTCTTTCTATAGCATGCTCCATAACAGGTGTTGGTTTATTCAGTGACTTTTAGTGTTTTAATTGCTGTAAGAATGTTCTATAAACTAGCTGTAGAATCAATATCCTGAAAGTTAGCGACCCTATCCTGTAGCGTCTTCTAGAAAAAGCTTGAGTTTGTTCATTATAATGTGAAAGCAAATGTCCCTGAACTCACTAGGCATTTATTTAAAATTCTTACCATCCTCAAACAGAATCAACTAAAAATAGACAAATTAAAAAACGTCAACAATTTACATATCTACTTATTGATATTTTCTCGCATTGATGATAGATTTTTTCTCTCCGCGCTACTGCTGCCATAAATTACCATAGAACCTACTGAGTCAAGGGACACTTGATGTAGAAACCCGATATTTAGGTTTAGACAAATATCAACTCTGTTGTAAAATGGCGTTTTAAAGTTGTCTTCAGGTATTTTCTATAGAAAAGCTACAGAAAGCACTAACTACATTTATTTTAGAATATTTATTACTTCATCCTGAATCATTCACGGATTCAAAAATTATAAGCTGTTCCGGATCATAGGCGCTCAGCAATTTCTCCAGAATACTGGGGATATGCAAAATTTACCAGAGAATTTCATTCATCTGTCAAAACTGACATTCCAACAATAAACTGACATGTTTTGATTGGTGATTTGAACCAATCAGATTGGAATTACGCGATAATTGCATAGTAACTGGTGTTTTGACATTTTCTGACAAAAAATATAAACTTTTGATTCATGAAATTCTCTTATAAAATACAACTCGTGCAATGGAAATATATTTTCAATTTTTGACAAAGGACCCCGCAATATTTAAATGGAAATTGGTTACCGGTGATATTTGGATGAAATTTAAATATGTTATTGGGGATGCCGTAAGCAACATTTTTTACCATGGGGACAACCCTGTATATATGACAGGTGAGGCGTGGTTAGCTGTCAAATATTGGAATCTTATATCCAGAAGCAGTTTTTGATGAACAAAAAATCTTATATCCAGTGGCAGATTTTGATGAACAAAAAATCTATTTCTACTAAGTCGACCAAGTTAAGTCGAAAAATGTCAACCATTTTGACACCTGCCAAAACCCTGTCAAACGGCGGCACTCATCTTTTCCAGTTTTCAATATTTCATGATGTCATTTGACACTTTTAACTTGTATGTAAATTCTGAATTCAAAAATTGAAAAAAACAATGACAGAACTGTCAAAACCTGTCATTTTTTTTAGTAGAAAGAAATACTCTAATCTGATTCTTTTTTGTTTCAAGGTAGTTTATTGGTGATAAAACATTAAACAAAGTTCATGCATGTCACATTTTGACAACTGTCAGAATCTGTTTTTGCTTTTTGGTTCATATTGAGTTTGTTTGCTTAGTGAAGTTCTACAACTATAATGATAGAATAATACAATAATATAATAGAACTAAACCTTCACTAAGCAAACAAACTCAATATGAACCAAAAATCTATTAACAGATTCTGACAGTTGTCAAAATGTGACATGCATGAACTTTGTTTAATGTTTTATCACCGCTAAACTACCTTGAAACAAAAAAGAACCAAATTAGAGTCTTTTTTTCTACTAAAACAAATGACAGGTTTTGACAGTTCTGTCATTTTTTTTTGAATTCAGAATTTACATACAAGTAAGAAATGTCAAATGACATCATAAAATATTGAAAACGGGAAAAGATGAGTGCTGCCGTTTGGCAGAGTTTTGACAGGTGTCAAAATGGTTGACATTTTTCGACTTGACTTGGTCGACTTAGTAGACATCGATACTTCGATCATCAAAATCTGCCATAGTCACTCTTCTTTTGGATATAAGATTCCAATATTTGACAGCTAACCACGCCTCACCTGTCATATATACAGGGTTGTGCCCATGGTAAAAAATGTTGCTTACTGCATCCCCAATGACATATTTAAATTTCATACAAATATCACGGGTAACCAATTTCCATTTAAATATTGCGGGGTCCTTTGCACTCATGCGTTTTTAACTTAACTCTTTTTAAACTAAAAATGCATTCGGGCAAATTCCCCAAAAATTATCGATAATTTCCATTGCACTCGTTATATTACTATTGATAATTCTAGTCGTCAAAAATACCAGAGCCAAAAAACAAGTCTGCGGCCACTAACAGTTTATAAACTACAATATGCTGCACAAAACTAGTCTGGTAAATAATGCAAACCCAGTGTGACAGAAATCTAATATCCTATACTGATTATACCCTATACCAAGAACAACATAAAAAAACCACTAAAACAAAACATGCACATGCATATTAAAAACTAAATATATAAATAAACTACATGCAAAAATTAGGCAACCAGCCTCAAGGAAGTGCCACTACAGGGAATCTAACATGAGCCAAAAAAAATTGCGACACCACGGGGTTACCGCCTGCTATGCACGGCGTTACGGAACACAGCCAAATGTCACATCACAAAAAAAACGTTCCATCAAATTTGTTCTCACAAAAAAAATTAGACAGTTGTCTCTAGTACCTCTGAGCTAGGCCATACGGGACCTCGGCCAGAATTTATGTTGTTCGCTGATGTTTCACACGTGATTTCCGAGTCATTTGAACTGGAAGTTCTTCGCCTGACTGATTCTTCGGATGAACTTGCTTTAATGTTTGTCTTCTCCTTGTCACGCTCGTCCTCTCTAAAAGAAAATGATTGATGCAATAATTTTTCATAGGTACAAATAAACTACTTTTTTCCTTGTTACTTAATGTTAAAACAATAATAATCAAAAACCTAAATCATAAAATGGCAATATTGCAGTGGGAACTATGCTAGACAAAAATCTTAAATCGAACCAGCAGATACATGTAATAAAAAGTTAATTATACAATGGTCGGTGGCCGCATAATACACAAAAAATCTTTCACAAGGCAGCAAAATGTTTTAATGATTCCGCGTCATAAGACTGCAAATATAAAGATACGTACAGATCGAATTTCGAACGCTAGCCAACGGCACACGTGAACTATGTTGGAACGCGTTGGCTTTGGTGTGGACGATGTTCTCAAATCCTTTTCATTGCTTTCCAATTCCAACATTTCCAACGCCAACGACAGCACATGTGCCGTTGGCAGACATTGAGGGCAAATTTCTTGATCATTTCAAAATCTTGTATTTATTTGAAGACTAGCAGGCGGGCTAATAATTAAAGACGAGACAAGAAGCACTATGTTCATAAATATTCTGACACGTCTTTGGATGCAAGTAAGGAAAATCCTCTTCGACACTCACAAGACAGTATGCCTTAAAGGTAATAGCAAAAAAGACTGTCTAAGAGCAACTAAATTTAGTTTCCCCCAAATGCTAATTGAATCAGGGAAAATTAATTCAGCGGTAGAATCCGTACAAAAGTATTTTGAGGAAAAATAAATTAGCTAATGCTAATTATTCCTAATTTTTTCTCTGCAATTTTGGTATACCACTTTTCTTCCAATATTTTTGTATTTTTGAGAAATATATACCAGGCATATGGATTTAATCACTTTTAGATCAAATCATTGACATAATTACTTGATATCCGCCAGTTGACAGTCCATTTCAGTGTCACGTCAAGATAATTGACATCTGACCAAAACTAGGGTTGAAAATTGATTTATTTATAGACCGTGAGATAGCGACTGTTTAGTGGAGTCATTTTTCTTTGTCTGGCATTTTGAGGGTTGAATGTGGCTAGTTAGCTGATGAGAATATGGTTGATTTCAATGCCTGCTCCCCATTCGAAAATTTGAAGAAGAAAAAATTCATTTACATGAAGCCTTTTTTTTTAATGATTTTAAATTGTCTGGCTTTTGAATGAAATATTGACATTGATAAATAATTCATCACGCATAAAAAATACCAGATGCTTTTCAATAACTGAAAAAGTGGAGATAGGTGTCAACTTGCAAGAGAAAAGTATAGAACCTTTCGCATTTACTTTCTGTCTGGAAATCGAGAGAATAGAAGGTTTTGTTGTGAAAATAACGCTGGAAAATCGTCGGACGGTAATAACAGTTCGAAATCGAGTTTTCCGCGAAAATTTCTGTGGACATTTCGAACGGGAGGCAGGCATTAAAACCACTTATATTCTCATCAGCTAACTAGCCATATTCAGCCCTCAAAATGCCAGACAAAAAAAAAAGACTCTACTAAACAGTCCCTATCTCAGGGTCTTTCAGTGATTAAAGAAAAATACTGTACTTTGCCATATTTTTGAATCACATAAGGTTCTTTTTTTTTGAAACTACCACCAAAATCCGCCCTAGAATTTATTTGCAATATAATAATGAAGAAGTCGCCAGGAATTTACAAACGAGGACAAGGATTTGCACAATATCATGCAATTTTAAGACATCATGGATCAAGACGATGAAAACCTTCAAGAAAAGTGCCAAGACAAGATTGATGGTTTTTCTTGACTTTTACTGGAATTCAAGACTAGATCGATCATCTCAAGTCAGCAGTGTATGCATCATATTTACTGCTACTTCTGAAAAAATTTGGATCTGACCAATAGGAGCGTGTTAATCTGTTCATTTAATTTTAATCATACCAAACAATAAATAAACAATTATGACCAAAGTATGATTGTTTTCATTTATTTTAATCGTGCTTTCACTTGTTCAGAAGTGCTAGGTATTTTGATACTTTTCACACAGAAAATTTATTTAAAGAAAGCACTCACTTTATTTTTAGAGAGATGTATTTATCAGGAACAAGACCCTCCTGTCCGTTAACCGCTCCCCTCCACCAATCATTCGACACTTGCGAATACAATGTCACTGTATCACCCCTCTTAAGAGACAATTCTCTATTTGATCTGGCAATAAAGTCAAATTGGGCTGTAGCTTCTACGTTCTCGGAATCTGAAAAAAATAGGTCATCATTGATGATGGAACATATTCCATAATTTCTGAAGAAAAACTTACCATCTTCTGATGGGCAAACTTCTGAATCTAAATCGTCTTGTGTTTGTTCCGATGGCGAGTCACCCACATCTCTGTAAAAACACATTTGTTAGTATCAAATTAGCGAACAAACCCACATCTATATACTTTTGTGTGAATATTTCAGATTTCGGGTAGTTTGGTGGTTATTCGTAGCAAGGAGCAAAATTTAAAATTAAATAAATATACAAAATAACCTATTTTTAGAATAATTTGAGCTCGTTTGGTGTAATGTTCCCTTAGGAAATCTATCTCCCAGTCAAATCATCTACTTGATATCTGGTATATTCGCTCGTTCGGTCCGTTAAACCCTTTCGAGCCCATACTCTACACTGCAGCCTTTTAAAAACCTAAAGAGTATCAGAGTTACCTATACTTAGGACTGGATACATTTAAACTGTATGACGTGCCAAAATAATGCATACAAATTGCTTGCATTCTGATAAGCCGCAGTTTTAAACACTCAGAGTGTGTCATAACCGAAGATTTAAATCAATTTGGTTCAAAAAATTTAGAACTATCATTAGCTGACTTACTTTAAAAACTAAAAACTTAAAAAGGCGATTACTTGCAGCATTATGCTTCATCCATTTTTTGAATTGTTGTTTTGCTGTTTCTGTAGTGTCTTGTATTCATTTGTCTGTTCGTCGGATTTGGCCAAGGCTAGCCCAAGTTTACCCGTACTTGCTTAGTTGTCAAAGCGATTCGAGAGAGTTTTTTTTTTGTACCAGATGTCAGTGTTCGCTCGAAACTATTTTTTTCGCAAATATTTTGGCAATGTAGCCATTGTGTGGGTAGTTTAATTGTATAAAACTATTCGGACACGTATTTTGACAAATGCTTCGGCAAATATATTGGCCAATGTATTGAAATGTAATAAGATAGGAGTTGGGTACAATAGGATAGGAGTTAGCTAGTTGTGATAAACAAAAAAAAGTAAGCTCACCAATTAGGTACATTAAAAACAGCAACTACAATTTACTTACTGATCGTCTGTGTTCGGTGAAATATATTTTTCGTAAATAGGTCCACCATCGTTCGGAAATATTTCATCATGAAATATTATAATATTTTTGATAAGCTCATTAACTTGATTCTGGTATTGCACTTGGTCCTTATCGTCTGGAACAGGCACCAACGTAGGTCCAAAACATATAGCCAAATTATAAGGATCCATCATATTTTCATCAGCAAACTCGGATAGATGATTTAAGAAAGCAAAAAGATATCTTAAGACTATCATCACTGGTCGAGGTAGACTTTTAACCAATTCTCGCATTTTACTGATAAAGTCTCTTTTGTTTTCTAATTCTGAAATTATTTGTATAAATGAGATGAGCAAGTTTTTTATTATAATCAAAATTAATGCTTACGTGCTAATTCCATGAACTGTTCAAAATATATTATAGGGAATAATGGTTCACGAAGTTCTCGCAAATATAATTTAAAGACGCCAGCTACACTATTGATATCTGAAGCATCAGTCATATCCGCAAGCGGGTCTTCACCTCTTTCAAACCATTCTTTAAAATTATTAATTTCAACTTGAGAACCTGATACACGGAATATACCTTGATGATGTAGACCTGAAAATTATAATAAAATCATTTTGTCATTTAAACCCCTGAAGTATAACTTACCATAAAGATTAATAACTCTTATGCAAGAACGTAATATTAACGGAATATCTTGATTGGCGGCTTCTTGGTATTCCTCTATAGATCCGCCAAACAATTTAGGTTGCCCACTGAGCTGTAGGCGTCCTATTCGTTTCCGTTTAGGTGTTTTTGAAACTGGACGGATGGTCTGGCATAATTCTGGAGCTTCAGCTACCAAAGATTGTCGAAGGTATTCTTGTTTTGCGTCTAATCGTGCAATTTTGGATGAACCTAGAATATATTCTCGGAATTTCTGAAAAAAGGCACGAGTTCAAAAAACACAAATAATTGGAGTTGTCCGGAAAAGTGTACAAGTACCAGTTAAAGAAAAGTTATTTTATTATTTCTAAGCATATTTCCTTCATAGGCCTTCATTTCCAAAGCTGGGTAAGATTCATAAATTGAATATACATACGTACAGGGTCTGTTCCTTATAATTAGCGAGGCTTCTAAAGCTTAAACAAAAAAAATTTAAATACAAAAGTTGTAGGGTTTTATCTCTATTATCTTTTGCAAATGTCAAAACGGCAAATGACAGGTGCCAACTGCCATAATGACAAAACCCTGTATATTTTTGGCTAGATTGATAGATTTTTTTCTCCAGATTCCAAATATACCATACAGGGTATCCCACCAGGAGCCAAATCGATCTATACCGGGTGCCCACGAGACTACTTTCCGGCTGCCATTTTTTTATTTGTTCATCGATATCAACGAAACTTGGTAGGCTTGATTATCTAACGGAACACCATTTTTGTGCATCCACGACAAGTTTTCCTGACTTCCGGTTTCACCGGAAATGACTGGAACTTTTGATTTTTAAATGGCACACCCTGTATATTTTTTGTTTTTTGGATTCTACAGATCGTTTTACGTCCTAATGAACCACTTTTAAATCGAGTTTTGTCCAAATTTCGTTTTCAAATTAAATTTTAAGTGGAAAAAAAATTACCTACTTAATAAAACAAAAATATTTTAACGAAAATTAAGAAAAATGTCGGAGTGTATTATATCGTTGGATTTTCTTCAAAATACTGCATTTAGTAATGTTACGAAAGTGATATGTCTATTCTAGTTTTTGAGCTAGGGCAAAAATACTAAAATAATGGAGTTTACAGCCCTCTATCAAAAAAGTTTACAAAGATAAAATTGAGTTTGTATTTTTCTGAAATAAAGTAAAGTATAAAGAGTCATTTTAGGATGATCATGGCACTCTAGTTATGAAATGAAAATTTAATTTGAAAACAAAATTGGGATAAAACTTGATTCAAAAGTGGTGCATTATGACGTAAAACGATCTGTAGAATCCGAAAAACAAAAAATATACAGGGTGTGCCATTTAAAAATCAAAAGTTCCGGTCATTTCCGGTGTAACCGGAAGTCAGAAAAACTTGTCATTAATGCGTAAAAATGGCGTTTGGTTAGAATATCAACCCTACCAAGTTTCGTTGATATCGATAGACAAATAAAAAAATGGCAGCCGGAAAGTGATCTCGTGGGCACCGTATATGAAAAATTGTATGCAGAAAATTTTTGAAAATTTGAAAGTATACTAATGTCAATGGGGGCAATCCGGCTAAAATATTTTCAAGATGGTGAAATAGCCAAACTGTGGAATAGCGATGTTAAAGTCTAGGATCAGTGGTTCATATTTCAGCCGAGATACATTATTTTTTTGTTTCCCCAGTTTGGCTATTTTCGTATCGATTGATAGCGTTGAGCACCTACCTATCAAACTACATGCGTTTCCATTTCCTTTCAAGCCCATTTACTCAAAAACTGTACACGGAATCATTTTTGCGCAGTGATAACCAGAATAATCAGAATATCGAAATCTACCCAATTTCAAAAATTCAGTCAATTTGACAGAAAGCCATTATCCATAAGGTTTGTGCGGGGTCCTTTTCAAAAATTTTCTGCAAACAGTTTTTCATATATGGATCGATTTGGTTCCTGGTGGGAAACCCTGTATATGTCGATATTTGGTTCAGCTGCTTTTACGCTATTCAAGTTTAAATTTTATTTATTTTTTTGTTTAAGCTGTAGAAGCCGCACTAATTATAAGAAACAGACCCTGTACCTCTAAAATGCTATAACGATTCTGTTTGCAAAATTTCACCAGCAGAAAATATGAATTTCTCCTTTGAAATATAAAGTATATTCTATTAATACTTCATTTTTAACTTGTGAATAAGTATTTTCACATCTCCCTTGCTTTTCGCTGAAAATAAGCTTGCCTGCAGCTTCTTTTAGCTGTTGCCATGAAGAACTTGGATTTTAAACTCAATTTTGACTGTTGAAATGAGAAAATATCGTGTCTGTGATCAAATGACAACTTCGAATCTGGATTTATGTATGTCCACAAATAAGCTTATAGAAAAAAAATTAAAATAAAATTTAAGAGATTATTACCGTCAGATAAAAGTCCTCCGTTTCTTGTCGATCCGCTCTGGCTTTCACAGTTACAGTTTCCGGTGGTTTATTTATTGGGTATGCATTGTCGCCAAAATATCCGCTACAGTCATAATCCTTGGCGCTTAGCATTTCCATTAAAGTGGTCTCGGCAGTTTCTAAAGTTTTCCATACTTCTTCAGACTCTGCTCTTAGGGACGTCACCCTTTGTTGTAATTGGGTCAACCGGCTTTCCATTTCTCTGTGCAGAAGGTTTTGAATTTCTGGTTCTGCTGGCTAGATAGTTAAATTTTATAAATAGAATTTTGAAAAAAAAAAAACACACATTTTAACTTATTTACCTCCTCAGTTTTATGACCCTGGAATTCCAGTTTCTTAGGAATCATAAAGGCGCTATGGTTATTTTCGAGGAACTTTTGCTTATCTAATCGAGAATCCAATGAATTAATACAAGCGGACAGTGAATCCAAACCACTTTGCACTGACTTTTGGCGGCCTTCTTCTGCAGTAACATGCATTAGTAAAGCTCGAGAGATACAATTATGGAAACCAAAATCCATACACTTGAATAAAAAATATTTTAGAGAATAATTTTTTAAATAAATAAAAACAACTTACATCAATGAGATCTGATAAATCATCAACAAAATATTTATGTATAGTGGTATTTGAGGCCTCCAAGCATAATATATATTCGTTTCTCGCCTTCAGAGCTTTCAATTTAGCGTCTCCATATTTATTTCTTCTCTAAATATTGAAAGATATTAACATTTAATTAACAATTTAAAAAAAAAACTTAAAGCTCACTTTGGCAACTTCTTTTTCCATTAATTTATACTTCTTTGAGCGTTCAAGTTTGTCCTGTGACATAGATGTTTCTAATTTTGCTCTTTGTACTTCAGCAGTGCGAAGTTTTGCTTCCGTTTGTCTAAGTTCCCCTTGATAACTGTGATATGTTTTCATTGTTGTGTGAAGTTCATGTAGAACTCTTAAAATTTCTTCGTGTGTCTCATATCCTATTTCTCGGCACTAAATGCATATGTAAGAATTATGTTAATGGGATTTCTGCCAAATAAAACACAAATTACCCTTTTGTATATTCGTTGAACATCTTCCATAACTTGTCCTAACCTAGATACTAGATGTGTAGAGTAAACCTCGGATAAAGCTACATGGTCCCTGCTTAAATTTTTTGTTTGAGTTACTAATTGTTGCCAACAAACGTAACTTGAAAATAATGGCCATTGTTCCCTTCTATATCAAAGAAATAGTTGATTTAGTTTTAATTGTAATAACCTTATAAGGTTAGTCTTACTTTTGTTTCTGTTCTTTATGCCTAAGTTGAAGACTCTTAGCTAATTTATCCAAATTCTTCGAATAATCTAACTCTAATTCTCCTCTTCGCCGAAAAAAATCTTGCAGCTCCGTTAGGAGTGCAACTTGGGCTTCCATGCGTACATCCAGACATCGTAGTTGTTCGTTTAATTGAAGCCTAATATCTGAAACAAAACAAAATATAGATAAGTGATCATCATTTTGCAGGCTTGTGTTAACAAATAATAAAAAAAAATTACGTCAAGTGAACTAAAATTAAAAACTGTGGCTTACTAGACGGAGTCACCTTGGATATTTGCAGGGGTCTGAACACGATAAGCGTTTTAAAAAATTCAATTGGCTCATTATTTCCTTGTTATGTTTTATAAAGACAATGAATTGTGATTGACTGCATTGTTTAGTTACTCTAATAGATGGTTAACAAAAATACCATTATTTTTTGATCCAGATTCCAGAGTCTGTCTGTCTGCGTAGTTCTTCGCTCATAGAATCTTCTAAATGGGGGCATTTTATTTTCATTATTTTTTATGAGAATTTAGATGGTTTTACGAAATTTATAGTTTGCAGATGTTCAGAGCCAAAACATTAGCAGCAATGGGTGGTATGAATAAAAATGAGCATTTAGTTTCTACTCCAAATTTTGGAGTAAATACTCCACGTGGTATGAATAAAAACTACGAGCAGATATTTCACTTGAGTAGGTACTCCTATGTTTAATTTGGTATTAGTAGATTCTCACTTTTGGTATGAATAAAAAATTGTCTATGCTCTTCGGCAGGAGAATCTACTCCATAGTTTTAGAGTCTACTCTGCAGTAGACTCAACTTTCTGCTTCAAGTTATTTCAGTACTGATTTTCCCTCGGTAGAAGGCAGAGCTATGGCAGAGTTCTTCAATCTTAACCTGCGTTCGGAAAAATTTTACAAAGCTAGAAAAAATACGTGTGATTGGGACTGTACCGGTTTAGTAAAGAAAATGTGGAGTGGTTATCAAATCAATTTTTGGGTGAAGAGTCTGGAGAAAGAAGAAGTGGTGCTTTATGCAACAAAGACAAATTTAAAATATTTTTAAGATACGTGGGTGATCCGGGCTATCAGGCAGGAGTAGGCAAAGATGTTGGTGTTCACCAAACTTCGGTGTCTAAAGTTGTATCGGACGTAGCTGATAAGATAATTCAGCAAAGTGAACGATGGATCAAATTTCCCCGCAGTCATGCGGATATAATATTATCCATTCACAATCCGATGTCCCGAGGTACAGGTAAAATTTATCACCTTTCAATGCTATTTGATAGGAAAAGGTGATAAATTTACCTGTACCGGTGGACATCGGATTGTGAATAGGATATAGAGGCGAAAGAGCGGTGGCAAGCAGAATAAAATGTTGAGTATCTACTCTATGTACTAGGAGTATGTACTTATCAAACCGAAATATTTTTTATTCCTACGAAATGGAGTATAAGCTCAGACTTCATACTCATGCTCACGAGTATATACTCCGAGTTTCAACTCAGTTTTTATTCATACCACCCAATATCGTATTTGAGAATTGTGATCAATGGCGAAAAAGCCTCATCAGAAAGGATAAAAATTATAGAGATTGAGAAAAAACATCTGTACCATAAAACACACAAAATTAGTGGGACTCAGTGCACTATACGTCTGAAATTTTAGGAACTCATACAAATTAATTTCCAAAACAAAAATAAAAGGAAGGATTATAATAATATAGATTCGCGAAACCGTCCATTTGACTAAGACACTTCCAACTTATCTGATATAAAACGGAAGTGGAGTGTCACTCAAAATTCTGCCTAAGTATACAATTCTTCACACAATCATGAGTCCTACCGGTAATATAATGCATTAGGGCCAAAAAAATTGATCGTGGGATATTCAATCACCACAAGAAGAGAAGGATGAGCATGCGGGGGTGCTGTGCAAATAATGCGTTGTGTATTCATGTGAAGAGATTTGAAACATGTTATCTGCGAATGAATCCACACCGTTTTTGTTTTGGGTACACGTGCAGATACTTTTTGCGATATATTTATTTGAACTATTTCATAATAATTTGTCAATTATTTTAGTCCAGCGGGACCCCCTATATGCGCTCGTGATGCGGACATAATCCTACATTTAAAAAAAAAAACGTCCTCCATGAACATCAAAAACTAGTTCAGAATGGAACACGTGTATTGAAGAGCCTCCTTTTTCCTCTTTTTTTTGCGCCTATCGAAGGACTTGCCCTTCAACCCCATTCAATCTTTTATGCAAATCCCCCACCTTGCAAGGTCTGGAACTGTGGAAAAAGAGATTTTTTAAAATTTGTTCGAGAGACCTTTTTTATTTTATTTTTTCATCTGGAAAATTAATAAGTACCCACAGCAATATATATTTCGGGAATGTGCTTTTGCGTTTTTAATTTGCACTGAATAAATTGGGGTGTTTTTCATCCCAATTAAAATAGCAAAAGCCATAGAAATTCATGCAATGTTAGGTAGCGTTAGGCCCATAAAAATAAAGGATTGGCCTAGGAGTTCTCCAACTTTTATTGCAAGATAAGCACTTTGAATAGTGAAATTACAAATAAAATTATTTCTCAACAAATTTCTTATGAACAATTTGCAAATTTTGCACAAAAAAAAGACAGAACTATTTTGACATATCATGAAATGCCGTGATAAAGGCAATTGATAGTTTTGCTGAGAACTTTGACGTTTCCCTTCCAAAATTCGCAATTTTTAGTAAAAAAATAAGGTTATTTTCATCATTCATGGAAGAGAAAATCACCATCAATAACCAAAGGCAAGTTTAGCCGCTCTATTCCAGACAGTTCTTCTACACCTAGCAAATTTCTTTACGAGATAACCTAGACGATCGAAAATAATAATATTATAAACTATAGTATATTAGTGTGATTAAACAAATGAACATTTACGAGATTCTAGAGATTTCTCGAATGAATATTGTCACAACCCCTAGACGTTTCGTCCTGGGACGTCACAACAGGAGCGTCACCTGGGGGCGTAGGTGGGGTTCAGGTAGAAAGAAACTCGCTTGGTATAGGTATAATAAGATAATAAATTGAATAATAATAATATTACCCTAGAAATAGTATCATGACATCTCTTCTACGAAGGGACTTACTACTTATAGGCCACTCTGTATTATGTACCCTCTGTACACTTGGCGTGACTGAAGACGGAAGCTGGGTTTGAGACAGGTCCAGAAGGGCGTTTCCCAATAAAGGTAGTTTGCACTGGACCTATTCTGCTGCGTTCAATGCTCCCAGAAAAAGCTAGGTTTGAGATAGGTCCAGAAGGGCGTTTCCCATTAAAGGTAGTTTGCACTGGGAGGAGACTTAGCTAGAGGGGCTTTTCCCATTTGAGGTACTTTGCACTAGCCTTAGTCTGCCGGTAATGGATGACGGCGCGGTATTTATACCAAATAAATGCTGATTCGTCGACACACTTTAGTAAAATTGATGTACACGCAGTACGTGCAGAGTGGTATTTACTTAAGCAGTTGACAATATTTTTGTATATAAAACGCTTCGTTTGTAACTAGAAAATTTCTTTACGAGACAACCTAGACATTCGAAAATAATATCATTATAAACTAGGTATAGTATATGAGTGTGATTAAACAAACGAACATTTACGAGATTCTAGAGATTTCTCGATTGAACATTTTTGTATATAAAACGCTTCGTTTGTAACTTAGTGAATCAGTTTAGATAAGAGATTTGTTATGTACAGCTACGTGAAAGAGATAAGTTATTAGTGAATTTCGTAAAGTCAATTAAAGTGGATGCTGTTAGTTTATGGACCCGCGGAAAGCGTGACATTATAAGTAGATGTTATTAATTCATATATTTAAAACAAAGCAGTGAATTGAACAATACTAATCCCTCGACTCTCGACTAATCCTAAATATATGTATGTTTGGAAAAAAAGCAAGGACAAAGTACTGACAAAAAACGGAGAATGGCTGATATCAATATGCTAGCAAAATAACCTGAAAATTTTTAATGGATATCTACTTTTAGCATAAAACTAGACTATAGCAATGAACTATCTACACCTACCTGGAATGGTCGTGCCGATCTATAAAACTGAAGCTAATTGAGATGGAGAATGTGGGGGATACCTATCTCTATTTATCTTATTAGCGAATTAGGCGATTCGAATCAGCTGATAATTCAAGATGGCGACGTGGCCCGAATGTACACAAACCATTGAGGTCAAACATTGCCTCCATATAAATGTGTGTTATTTCTACCTGTTTCAGAGTTTAATTTGATGAATTTTAATCTATTTAAACTTTTTTTAATGTTCGCAGTTAAAACCGAGTTAGTTGGAATATTTATCTACCGATAAAATACCTGGGCAACAGGTACAAAAGGGACCGCAAGTAGGTAAAAAGGCCTAAATATAAGTGCTACATACATAACATACATATTGTGATGGCAAAAACTCACCAAACACTGTAGTTCACTTTAAATACATAAATGGCATCTTTAAACATGCCTTGCCAATCCCGACATTTATGACAAATATAAAGTGCTTCAGAGGCAAATAAAAATTTCCATCACAGAAAGTTCTCAAACTGATTTAAAAACACTTTAGAAATCCACAGTCTCTTATGGACGTCAAGTTTGTTATGCCACAGCATCAAATCGCCCTATTATAGAAATCTTTCCTTGTCTAAAAAATATTATATTTGAGGTTAGGAATATACCAAACCTAACAGCAGTGAACTAGAGAGAGAAAGGTATCCCCCACTGTATAGCTATCTTTGAACACACTAGAGGGAGACAAATGCCATATCCCATATCCGACAACGGTCGGATCCATTCCAGTTACGTGTAGTATATAGTTCATTGGAATATAGAACATCACTGACAAAAGCACATATACCTAGCTCAGAAGTCGACTCAAGGACATTACCACAAAAGTGCCGGTGGCAAACAGTATAAAGCGTTGGTGGACGGCAAGAACAAAGAAATTATGAATGTTGAGACACACAATAGTAGAGGACATTGAACAAAAACAACTTATTTGATTTGGACATTACAAAGAAAGGCAACCACGAGAATGCCTGAGAATAAGGCGCGGCAGGGGCAGACCAAGAAGAATGGATAAGTGGAGTAGACTATTATAT